TCCAGAGAAGCAGTGACATCAGAGATGGAGACAGACATGAGGACATGGAGCGAGGGAGCAACTGAGGACTCTAGATTCATGGAAGGACACTGACTGGGTGCTGGTGGTCAGGAGGCAGCCTTGCAGAACGTGCCCTTTGTTTATTATATATTCCTGAGTATTTTTGTGTACATCCTCCCCCTCCCCCTGAAAAAAACAAAACAAAACCAGAGGGAATGGAAGCAAACCCTGTTGAATGATGAAGCATGGAGGGGATTGTAATCATTGCCGTGAAACTATGGTGTAAAGCTGATGTTCTCCCATGTAAACTATCACTCAATTCACAGTAAAAACTTAAAAGAAAACATCAGCAATCTGTCCTGAGATATCAAAGAGATGAAACAAGCAAGCAAGCTTCGGTGGGAGCGATTTCAAGTCTCACGGAGAGTTCCAAAGAACTAAGGAGCAGAAGTTAGACTAGGACCGTCCTCCTCCAGAGCTGATGGAAAGAGAAAGCCTTCCTCCAGAGCCGGCACCCTGAATTTGGACATGTAGTACCCTAAACTGTGAGAAAATAGATTTACCCGTTAAAGCCAAGACAGAACAAAACAAAACTTCATTTACCCATAAAGGAACAATGTTCGGAGCCACGCTACTATGTGGATATACTTCAAAAACATGCTACATTGAAGGCAGCAGATACAAAAGGACTTCTTGTTGTGAAGTGCCGTTGAGTTGGATCCGACTCATAGTGACCCTGTATAGGGTTTCTGAGGAGCAGTTGGTGAGCTTGAACTGTCAACCTTGCAGTTAAAACTGCTCTTGCAGTCCCGCGCATTAACCTGCAGTACCACACCAGGACCCTGCATGTGTACAGCAATTTCCAAAGAACAGTGTCTTACCCTCGGCACAATGGACATTTTGATCTAGGGCTCTGGTCTCTACCCACTACATATAGCAGTAACTCCGCAGCACCCCACAAAAGGACTATTAGTGTACAATCCAACTTTATGAAATGCCCCGAGTAGGTAAATCTAGAGAGACAGAAAGCAGACTGGTGTATGCCAGGGGCTGTGGGGAGAAACTGCTCATGGGGATGGGATCTCCTCTAGCGGGGTGAAGAACGTAATTTGGATCTAGACAGAAGTGGTAGGTTGTCCAACACTGTGAATGGCAAGGAATGTTCAATCTAAAATGGTGAATTCTGTGTGATGAGAATTCTACCTCAGTCAAGTATGAAAAATCAAAAAGAATGTTAGAGAAAAGATTTGTATTTCTAAATCTTGGCCCAGGTCTTGCTCTCCACCTGCCGCTCCCCCTGGACCCTGTGGACCCCCCACAGAAAGGCTAGTCACCAGTGAGTCACTTACAGTTTATTTTTGCCTGAAAGTATTTCACATCTCTTTGTACACAGCTACGGGACAGTAGTATTAACCATCAGAAAAAGCAACAGTGCGAAGGGGAAGGTGGCATGTCTTGTTTCTTCTTGTTTTTTTGTTTGTTTTTGTTTAGTTTCTGCATCTTCCTGCACCAGAGTGCTGTAAAGTAGGGGATGGAGGGGGTGGGGAGGGGGGAATAAAACCAAACAACAGAAAACAACAGACAGAAAACAGAACACAGAACAAAATACACACCCACACACACACTCACACACACACTCACACACACAAAATAAAACCTGGCACAGAGAAAATGGATTAAGACTGCAACCCAATGTCGTCTTTTTTTTTTTTCCTTTTTTAAAAAAATGAGGGTCTAGTAGAGGGTAATAAAGTCTACCTAGCAAAGTATAAAACAACCAAAGCATGGTTTCCATTGAGTCGGATTAAATAGATATAAAACAATTATGTTGGCTGTGGGTTAGGTCTGAGGGTGCCGGACAGGGAAGAATGTGTGCTAAACCAACAGAAAAAAAGGACTTGGGGAAGGGGGGCCCCAAAATCAACCAGAAAGGGGCTGTTCTGTACAGAGAGGGCTCGGTAAGAAGAGCCGAGGCTTTAAAAAAGGGACAGAGATTGGTTTGTCATGGGAGTGGGGTGCTGTTTCATCGCAGTGGTCACATTTGGGGAAGGGGGTGAGTGGATGGTCAGGCTGATAGGGATGACGCTTCTCTCTTCTCCCAAGATACCATGCAAGAGGCGACATGCATGAGGGGGGGCCACGGACAGACACAGGGTGAGGGCCACGGGACAGCTCTTCTAGGGGGGCGGACCAGGGAGGACAGTTTAGTACCCCCCAAATCTGTAAAAGGAGGCCAAGAGAGAGAGCCTGGGTCTCACAGGAACGACATTATGACAGGGGGACCCCCATACCATCCTCTTCCCCAGCCTGACCCCTATCCCGTGAGAAAGTCGGAGGTACGCTCAGGGGCGGGCAGAGGGACAGACGGACGGGCAGCTTGACAAGAAAGCTCAACATACAGAATCCATTATGAAAAAGCAAATTTCCAAGGAGGTCTGGGGTTTTTTTTTTTCCCTTTTTTCTTTTTTTGTCTGGTTGCTTCCATTAAAAAAAAACAACAAAACAACAAAAATACTACCACTAAGCCAACAGCTGGTTTGTACAGTACTACACGCCGGGGGTGGGGTCGGGGGGTGCGGAGGGGAGGGCAGGAGGGAGGGAGGGCCAGAGACTTCATAAATAAGAGGCAGGTCCCAGACCCACAATTTGTCAACATTTCTTAAATAGGTGCATTATTTAAATCTTATGTACAACAGAAATCACTTTGCATAGCAATGGTGAGGACTCAGGACAGGTGCAATGACAGGACTGGGTCTGCTTGTCCCAATGAAGGGGGCAGGTTCTCGGCCCGGAGCCGCCTGGAAAGAAGCATTCGGCTCAAGGCCCCGGGCAGGTCGGGATCACGGTGACTGGCCTGGGAGGTGACTTTTCCCACACGGCATTAAACACAAAGGCAAAGAAAATCCACAAAGGGTCTCCCCTCCCTAAACCCCGGGCCCCCCCCCCGCCCCCCACCCCCACTCCCACCCCACTGAGATTCCTCTTGTTGCTACAAAGTCCACTTTAGATCAGGTCACGGTTTCCAATTAAGAAGCTAAAAGATTTAGGCGGGGGCTGGGCGTGCTTCTGGAACCCCTCCCACCCTCCTCCCTCTGCCCCCAGATATCTATCTCTCAGCCAGGCCGCTGAGGGGGAACCCCAGAGATGGCTGCTCTACAGCTATTAAGTCAAGTCAAGTTGTAGTCAAATTGTATCGTAGAGCTTGCAGAGTCCGCCAGAGTCGGGGGAGTTCACCAGGCCTCTGTGTAGCGGACATCCACCTCCTTCAGATTGGGCAGCTTAGCCTGGGGAGGGGCAGAAGGCACAAGCGTCAGGACTGGGCCACCCTTCCACAACCCCTCCCCACCTGCCCGCGGCTTGCTGGGGCTCCTAGGGGCTCTGGAAGAAACCTGAGATGGGGTGGACTCAGGCTCTGGGAAACCTGGTGCCACAGCTGGGACCACTTGCCCCACCATGTCAGATGGGCTCAGATCACTGGTTTTACAGTGGAGAGCTTAGGGCTGGAGTCCCAGGTCAGAGAGGCACCCCTCTCGGGCCTCAGTTTCCTCATCTGGGAAGAGAATCTTGGTCCAGTCCTGCCTCACAACATGAGCGGACTCACGGACAGCCCAAAGCGCCGTATCCAACACATGGATGTGTGTAAGACGGTTCCCAATGTGAACTACTATTTATGCTACTGCTCCATCAGAGAAGGGGGCAGGAGGATGGAGAGGGCACAGTGAATGCCAAGCACTGAGGACTCAACTTCTCTAGATGACACCTTCCCGCCTGCTATTTACAGCCAGCCATCCCTGCTTTCCATCCCTGCCACCGTCTCAGATGCACTTTCTCCATCCTCTCCACAGCCCGCTTTTTCTTAACAAGCTTCACAGTCTAGAGCCTCCTCAGGGGACTCTGGCCTCTCATGTCCTCCCTTCCTAACCTCCTGGTACATGGCCAGCGAGGCCTTTTCAACACACCTACACATGTGTGTATACACATGCTCACACACGCTTCCTCGCTGCTTCTCTCCTGTGTGTAATAACTCTCAGTGGCTTCCCACTGCCCAGGAGAGGTTGGAGTTGGAGCCGGCAGTCACATTTGACTGGGCTATTTGAGCAACATCATAAAAAAGCAGCCTAACACAAACAAACACAGAAAAAATAAGAATAAAAAACAAACAAACAAAAAAGACTGGAAACACTCAAAAACAGCAAAACGAGTGAGGCAGACACTTCATTTTCAATAATAACCTTAATGTGAATGGTCTAAACAACCCATCCAAAAGGAAGCGAGTGGTAAATGGATAAAAATCAGACCCATCCTTTTGCTGCCTATGAGTGATACACCTTAGACACCTGGACACTAGTAGACTAAATATACAGAGTTAGGGAGAAAAATATGCCATGCACCTAGTAAGCAAAAAGGAGCAGGTGGCCACACTAATATCATATAAAATTGATTTCAAATCAAAGTCTATTTTAAGAGAGAAAGGGCATTCAAAATAGTAAAAAGAAAGGGAGTCACAATCCACCAAGACAAAGAATTACAAATATGTATGCAGCTAACAACAATGTACCGACATCCACAATACCAATGCTATCTACAGATAAACAACTGCACAGTGACAGTAAGGGACTTCAACACAGCACTTTTTATGACACATAGAACATCTGAAGAGAAGGTGGAAGCAATGGACTGCTTAACTGCAAGGTTGATGGTTCATACCCAATAGTTGCTCCTTGGTAACCCTATACAGGGAAGGTTGCAATGAGTCAGAACCAACTTGACGGCACTTAATAGTAACAACGAACAACATTGAGAAGTTAAGATCTGAAGCAACTTTGACCTAATGGATCTATATAGAACATCCCAACACAATACACATTCATCTACAGTGCACACGAATCACTGTCAGGATCAGATCGTGGGCTAGGACACAAAACAACTCTCAGCAGGTTAGAACAAAGACTGCAATCACACAAAACACTTTCTGTGACTATACTGGTACGATTAGACATCAACAACAAGAAAAATCAGGAAATACATACACAGAAACTAAGTAACACACTACTAAAAAACTACTGAATCACAGAAGAAATAAAAAATTGAATATAAAAAAATTCCTAGAATCAAATGAAAATGAAAATATAACCCATCAAAACCTTTGGGATACAGCAAAAGCAGTGCTCTGAGGAAAATTCACAGTGATACATGCCTACATTGATAAAGAAGAAAGATCCAGAATCATGAATTTAAACTGGCAACTTGAACGAACTGAAAACCTTTACTTCAAAAATTTAGAAAACCTAGATGAAATGGACAAGTTCCTAGGGGTTCAGCCAACTGGCATAGCATAGTTCACAAAAATCATGATCTCCCTCGTAGGGAAGCGAGAAGTGTCTGGGGTCTTAAATATTTGTGTGCAACCATCAGAGACTCGTCGGGTCTCCACTAGCCAGGAGCAAACCAGTAAGAAGGTAACCAACAGATTCCGAGAAGTATGTCTCTAGGAGCCACAGGCCGTATCTATCCTGAGACCAGAAAAACTAGGTGGTACCTAAGCTATATCCTGACCGGGCTTACAATCCATGGTCCTAGGTAGAATGGGAGAAAAATACTGAGGAGAACTCAAAAAAAAAAGCCAAACTGAAACAGGAGAGAACTGAGAGCTCCCTGATGCTTCGGTCCTAAGACACTCTTTATACGGGGGGCTGAGTCCACCCGAGACGCCTCTGAGCTGAGTATGAGAGTGCCACACAAAATTGAGAGGTGCTACTTAACAACCATCAGTATGAGACATAAAGGTCAACAGTTACTCAAAAAGCGAAGATCAGAAGATAAGGGGGTAGGGAAACTAGAGTACTGGAAACGGAACACACAAAACACAATTAGAGAATGTTGACACACTGTGACAAATTCAACTAACGCCACTACACAACTTGTATACAAACTGTCAAGTGGGAATCTAACTGGTAAACTTTCTTCAAAAACATAATAAAATACAAGTTAAATAACCATCCCAAACCAGGAGGTTGCACAGAGCCTCCTAGATGCTTACACTTTCCTAGGAAATGGGAAGCCTTGGTTGTCTGGTAAGCACCATGAGGGGCCACTGCCCTGCTCTGCTCCAGTGTCCCCTCCAAGGTGTGACAGGATATTGTCAAGCCAAGTGATCCCTTATCTCCTTCCTGCCAGGTCTAGGTGGCTTTAACATTTGTGAGCCCTGGGATTTGGGACCATCTGAAGCTGAGCAGGACCATGCACATCTGGATTCAGATAGGCTGGAGGTCCCTCCGGGATGCCCACTGTGCCAGCCTACAGTCCACAATGGTCTGGCAAGACTGCAGCTTTCCTGCCCCCCACCCCTCCTACGGTGTGCTTCCCCAGGACCCTTCACACACACACCCTCCCCCACTGCAGCCTCTCTGGCCCAGTGAGTGGTGCTGAGAGCCACACTTAGCCCTCTGCCTGTCTCAGTTTACCACTTGTCTGTTTGTGCCAGGACCCCGATCTGAATCAAGGCCAGCAAGCCACACGCCCGACCAGTGAGACAGGCCCTGAGCTGGCGGGAGGTTGGCTGAGCTTGAGGTAAGGCTGGAAGGGACTGTCCCAGCCCTGCTGGAGATGGTCCTCAGCCAGGGTTGCCGGGGGATCCCCTCAAAGTGCCTCCAGGTCACGAGGTGCCAGGCTGCTTACAGTACCATCTGTGCCTCTTCAATACACATGCCTCGGAGCAGCCGGTACAGCTAAAGATGACGTGGTAGCAGGTAGCTCAAGGCCTGGACATTTCATCCTCCTCAGGACCATCTTACGAACATGCGCCCGCCTCCACCCTTCAGAGTGTCTGACTGTCCCCTGGGTATTACTTTACCAGCTCAGGCCCTAACTCGGATGACTGCGATGGTCCCAGACAGCTCTCCTGTCCCCCAGCTCCTCAATTCTTCACCCAGCAGCCAGAACAAGCCGCTCACTGCCCTGCTTACAGTCCCTAAAGCTTCTTGTGAACTCAGATGACCCGCAGAGGCCTTCCAAATGCTGCCTGACCCATTCGACCCAGCCCCGGCCTGTCCTCTCCCTCACTTGGAAGCCATGTTTGCCCGGGCTCGTCTCATCTGTGGGCCGGGCATCAGTTCTCTAGGTCTGTCTCCTGCTTATCCTACATCACTCAGGCCCTCCCTACGTCCTGGCTGGCTCCTGTCAGCTGGGGGAGAAGACTGTCCTGTTGCAGGCCAAGGGGAGGGAGGGCTAACCTTCAGATCTTCGTAGGTGTCAGCCGAGAGTTTGGTACTGTTCATGTTCAAACTGCACAGACTCTTCATGGCTGCAGATGGACAGACAGACACAGTCATCACACCAGGGAGATCCCGCGAGGGTCCCAGCAGAGTCTGCTCAAGGCTGGGCCTGTGCTCTCTGCCGGCAGAGCCTCCCACCCCTCAGCCTGGGCCCCACTGCAGCGCAGCCCTCACTGTCCCGGGAAGATCCTCCAGTAGCAGCTACCAGAAAGTCTCCTTTCTAGTCTGGAACCTGCGTGGTCACGTTGTGGAGAAGCAGCTTCAAACCTTCTGCCCTCGGCTAACCTGGCCACAGTGCCCCCGCCCCACTGCCGAGTCGTCAGGAAGCCCCTAGTGACCAGGATGAACTTACGGATGCCGTCTAGAACCCCTCCCCTCAGCAGCTCCCACACAGTTATCTTTCATCCCCAGGACAAGTATCACTTTCCTTCTTCCCCAATAAACCAGGGGCAGGGACGGAGCCAGCTGGTCAAATGCAGATTCCCAGGCCCACACCACCTGAGACCTTAGTTCTGTGGATGAGGGCTGGGGGGTGTGGGGGAGCAGGAGTTGGCATTTCTAGGTTCCCCAAGTGTGCTGTGCGCTTCCTTCTATGGGACAGTGCTTCTCCCACTGAACGTGAACCGTCTCCCAGGCCTCTGGTTACAATGAAGGCTGATTCAACGACTCTGGGGACAGGCCATTTCTAACTAGCTCCTGCCAATGAGCTGGAGGGGCCCAGAGCACCAGTTCCTACAGCACTTTCCCTGTGTTCTCCTTAGAATAGAAGCATCCCTAGGGCAGTAGGAGCCCACCACACCCCGTTGCATTCCCAGGCCTTCACGTGGCCCTTGGCACACTTGCTGAGTGGGTGAATGAAGGCGTCAGTACTCACAGCTGAGGGCCAGCAGGCCAGCGTCCGTGACAGGGGTCTCGCACAGGTTCAGCACCTGGAGCATGGTGAGGTGTTCCGACAGGAGCCGTAGGCCGGCGTCTCCAAACTGGGGGACACAGAACCACTGAGTCTGCCACCAGCCCCAGGAGCAGGGGAGGTGGGGTGGAGCAGGGCAGAGGGCTCAGAACCAGCCAGAGCCATCCCTACACTGTTGGACAGGACAGCAGGACAGCCTCAGAAGGCAAGTGGCTTGGGTGAGCTCAATCTTCCTGTGAAGTGAGGGTGGAGCCTGGAGCCCACCAGCTGGGGGCGAGCCTTGTGCATATGGCTCACAGAACCGCTCTGCCCTGACAGGCCAAACTTCAGCTCTGCTCAGTGTCTCTAGACTAGACCGTGGGCCCAGGCTCCCAACCTGGGCTCTGGGATGGACTTCTACCTGCTCTGCCTGGGAAGAGGGCGCTAAGCTCGGGGTGCAGTGGGGATGCAGGTGGTGAAAACCAAGGGTCCGGACATAGGGCGGTAGGTGGAGGAGGGTGGGTCAGGGCCGTCCATACCTGAGTGGACCACAAGTTCAGCTGTTTGAGAGACGGCAGCTTGATGAGGTACTCCGCACAGGCACTGGTTACGTTGGTGAAGGCCAAACTCAGGTTCTCCAGGTTTCCGAAGGAGCCCGAGCTCAGCAAACGAGCCAAGTCAGCGTCCTGTGGGGGGCAGGCAGGTGCTCTCAGGGTGGCCAGGGCAGCCCTCCCACCATCCCATCTTGTTCCTATAGACAGCCAACCTACAGCGAGGTATAGCTGGGCCGAGGGTGTCAGAGAGTGAGGCTTCTCCCTGTCCGTGGTAAAGACCCTTCACTGCCATGACTCAACTGTGAGTCAACACCTGGGATGTCCTGCAGCCGTGTCCCTCCTACAGGTGTGTGTGCCCATATATGTGTGTGCATGCAGGCACGTGTCTGTATGTATGCATGTCTGTACACATATGGTTGTGAGCACACATGCATGTGTATGTATAGGCAAATCTGCTGCCCAAGACCTCTTTTAAAGTGTTGAAGAGCAAAGATGTCAGCTTGAGGACTGAGGTGCAAATGACTCAAGCCATGATATTTTCAATAACCTCATATGAATGGAAAGCTGGACAGTGAATAAGGAAGACCATAGAAGAATTGATGCTTTTGAGTTCTGATGTTGGAGGAGAATACTGAAAGTGCCGTGGGCAGAGTGCTCCTTGGAGGCTAAGATGACCAAACTTCATCTCTCATACTTCAGACATATTGTCAGGAGCAACCAGTCCCTGGAGAAGAATCTCATATTTGGTAAACTGGAGGGTCAGAGAAAAAGAGGAAGACCCCCAGAGAGATGAAGTGGCACCGTGGCGACAGTGATGGGTTCAGGCATTGCAATGACCGCGAGGCTGGCCCAGGATCGGGCAGTGTTTTGTTCTGTTGTGCACAGGATTGCTATGGGTTGGTACCTACTCTATGGCACGTAACAACAACGTATGTGCGTGTATCTGTGTGCCTATGTATGTGTTTACATTTGCATGCACACCTGTCTTCGTGTGTGCATGCATGTTGACATGTAAGCACACATGTGTTTACATCTATGCGGACTGAGGTGCACATGACTCGAGCCACTGCCATGGAGTCCGTTCTGACTCACATGTGGCATGCATGTAGTGTGTGTGTGTACTTGTGCATGTAAGGGATGTACATGCATGCATGCATGGACAATAGCTGTTCTCCCTTCCATATTAGCAGTGAGGTTCATTAGCCCTTTGGTTTTTAGTTGCCACCTGGCTGTCTGGAATGAAGACTAATCTCCCAGCCTCCCTTGCAACAAAGTGTGGCCATGGGCCAAGTCTGGACAGTGGGCAATAAGCACAGGTGTCAAGTGGAACATATAGGAAAGTCTGTAAAGAGAAGGAATGTGTTCCTGCATTGCCTCTTCCTCCTCCTTTCTAGATGGAATGTGGACAAAATGGCTGGAGCTGCAGCAGCCTTCTTGGACCATGAGATGGAAGCCATGTGCCAAGTTCAGTGGGGGCTGCAGGACAGAAGGAACTGAAAAGACTGCACAATAGGGCTGTTGTGAGGATAAAGTGAACTAAGACTTTGGTGTAGTCTCTGGCAGGTTAAGTGTTCCATGTATGCTACCTACTACTGACTGCCATTATTAATAAGAACTGGGGGCATGGGAATATCCACAGTACCTTTGGTTTCCCACAGCCAGATTCTCTCCGGGAGAAGGTGGCCTGTGAAGTCCCACAAGACCCTATCACCTCCCCTGTTGTAGCCACAGACCCAACTCTGCCTTCTCCAGCAAGGAGGACCCTCCCCCCAGACCCCAGAGAGAACCAAAACACTCACTGTGGACTTGGAGGGCAGTGTTAGCCTGGTGGGCCCACCTTTCCTTTGCTGCAACAGAAACCACATTGATTACCAGCCGATCCTGCGTTCTACCTCGCTCGTCTATCAATGCTACTGGGTGGTAGATGTGCCATGTTCACGTCGCCCCTTAGGTGAGGTTTACGCGCAGGGGGCTGACAGGAGGGAATTCCAAAACGCACGTGTAGGGGAGTGGTGGGATGGGGTCATGGAGGTTTCCTGCCCCTACTGATGAGGGAATGGTCTTCTCAGGGGTTAGGGGGAATCCCCACGAGCCATCAGGGAATGTGACTCACCAACACTCTACAGGACAAAGTAGAATTGCCCCTATAGGGTTTCCAAGGCTGCAAAACTTCATGGACGCAGGCTGTCATATTTTTCTTCCATGGAGTGGCTGCTGGGTTTGAACTGCTGACCTTTTGGTCAGCAGCCAAATGCTAAACCACTGTGATACCAGGGCTCCTCTCCAGGAGTCCAAAGCCACTGCCGCGGAGTCCATTCTGACTCACACGACCCAATACAGGGTTTTCTGAGGCTGTAAATCTATACCGGAGCAGACAAACTCATTTTTCTCCCTTGAGCGGCTGATGTGTTTGAACTGCCACCCTTGTGGCTCCTAGCCCAGTGCGTAACCCACTGCACTACTAAGGCTCAGGGAAATGAGTTCTGCAGCCTTTCCTACTGGGCACGTGTGTGTGTGTGTGTGCACGCATGGCCAGAATCCTCAGGCTGATGGTTGGAAGTCAAGGCTGGGGGCATGGAGGAGAGGTGCTGATGGCCACTTCTGCCAAGGCACCGCGCAGAGGCAAAACAAGCTGAGAGACTCAGGACAGCTCCTTCTTCCTTCTGGGACGACCATTCTATGAGGGAGATGGCGGCTGGCAGAGGCGGGACACGGACTCACCAGCTCCTTCAGCTCCCGCTGCCGGTCACAAAGCTGCTCATACATGCGCTTGCCCACATCGGTGCTCTCCAAGGTCGAGATGATCTGCAGTTGGGTGTCATTGTTGTCGATGATGTTGTATTCCAGCATCAGGCACAGGATCTGCCGAGAAGCACAGAGAGGTGCTGAGGGGCCTGCCTGGGACTACGGGCAGCATGCTCAACCCACTCAGCAGCCCCCAGGTGCTTCGGGGAGGGTTTCTATAGCTAAGCACGCTGCATAACCCGCCTCTCCTGTCTCTGCATTTCTGACTGTACGACATTGAACAGACACCCTACCCCAGCTTCCCATCAGAAAAACATGGCCACTAATGCACACAGAGGTGCCCCGTGGCCCCTGAGACAAGCCCCTCTTGCTCACACAGTTGAAACAGACACGAGTGGGCAGAGACCCGTTTCTCCTGCTATGCTGAGGAGGACCTGGCCTGCCTCCTATCTACTGTGTTCAGCTCCTGCCACCAGAAACTACAGGGAATGCTCTGGGGACAGAGTGAGGTGTGCGGCAGTCTTACCTCCACCATGGTTTGGTTTCCCCTCAGTGCCAGGAGCATGCAGGGTCCCAGCTTGTTTTCCGCCAGGGAGAGCAGGAACTTTTTGGTCTTGTAACAGGAGCCCATGAGGATGCGCACCTACAGGGGGGAGACCCAAGTGAAAGGAGGGGTGGGGATTACCACCTGAAGGGATGAGGACACGCAGTCATTCACCACACTGTGTGTGGCACCTCGAGTCTGTGGCACGGCAGCCTTTGGCTCGTACGCTGTAGGAGGTAGGCACTTTTCCCTTCCCAAACCATCACTGAGCTCTGGACGGCACTTGGCGATCAGCTACCCCCAGAAATCCCAGAGCTGGCAAGTGTTGCTGCATCCTGGGGCGGCTGCTCGGCAGCCTGAAGTCTGGCTCTCTCTCCCTGGCACACCTGCACCCGGGTTCCCTGCAGGGTGGGGGAGGCCTTTGCACCCTACACCTTGTCTCCCCCACTTCACACACTGCCCTTCGGCAATGGCCACTAGCATCCTTGTCAAGGGGGCCTCTTTGGCACCATGCGTCGCCATGGAAACAAGCCATCTCCAGCTAAGTATTTTTTTGTCTGCTCCGCCTTGAATAACTCTGGTATAAAAACAAGACCTCCCAGGCAGGGTGGCTGCCAGCAAGTCAGCATGGCTCTCATATTGAGCTCCACACTAGGGTGAGGGGGCCCACCAGGTGTTGCCATGGTGAAGACTGTGACGTCAAAGAGAGAGTGAGAAGGAGAGAGATAGGGCGCAGGCAGGCAGAGGACAGGCAGCTTCCGCATCAGCAGGAAGGGTGACAAAGGCACGCGTAAGAAAGAGGACCTAAAAATAAGTCCCATTCCGCAGGCTCTCCTGGAGCAGTGTCCTGGGTTGTGGTCACTGTGCCCTGATGTCGTCACTGCAAAGTCTCTGCACCCCAGGTCTTGGTCCCACACCCACTGCGGCATCGTCGCTATGGCAACCCTGGAGCCTGGGACCAGGGAGCTGGTGTAATGTGACCCCAGCTTGTTGAGCTAGAGGATTGCTGGGTTGGGCTTTAGACCCAGGTTTAGCCAATGTCTCAGCCCTACGTCAGCCTGGGAAAACGGGTGATTGGAAAGCAGGACTGGGGTCACTGAGCGGGACCTTCGAAGTCACCGGCCACCTGGATGGAGTGCTCTGCTCTGGGGAGGGGCCTTTTCCTCTGTTCAACTGGCACCGGACTATTGTGAGCGGTGGGGCTCCAGACGGAAGTGGACGACCCCAGGCCAGTCACTGAGCCCTCCAAGGCCTGTTTCAACACAGAAGGTCTGTAACGGGTAGGAGTCTGTAACAGGTAGGGGTCTGTAATGGGTGGGGGTCTGTAACAGGTAGGGGGGTCTGTAACAGGTAGGGGTCTGTAACGGGTGGGGTCTGTAACATGTAGGGGTCTGTAGCGGGTAGGGTAGCGGGTAGCAGTCTGTAACAGGTAGGGGTCTGTAACAGGTAGGGGTGTCATGAGGACTAACAGACAGAGTGCACTCTGTTCAATAGTGTCTCGCCTGTAGAAAGTGCTGGAAGCCAGTGTAAATGCAGTCCTGGTCCAGTGTTTCAGGTCCTGTTAGGGGTGATGGTCTTGACTCCGATGCCTCACTGTAAGGAGTCAGTGGGCGTCTGGAACCCCTGGTGCATGCTAAGCGCTCAGTTATCTCATATGTAACATCACCCCACGATTAACTGTAATCTTTGGTACTTGGCTGCCTCATCCGTATAATGGGTACAATACAGACAGCACCTCCCAGAGCTGTTGGGAGACTCCTGCTGGGATGTGACAAAAATGTGTGACAGCTGTAATCTCTGCCATCATCATAACCCCGGATGGGGTCCGCGTCGGCCAAGGGTAGCCATTTCCAGAGTCAAGTGAGGAAAGGTCAGAATCTGCCAGCAACCCCCCATCGGGGTCCCACCACACCTACCATGCTGGCAAACAGCTCCCCGTCATCGTCACAGGCCACGCCCCCGGGGCTGTAGAGCTGGAACCAGCCATCTTTGCCAGCCCGCACGCTCAGCAGGCACGAGTGGACCTGCCGGACAGAGAGCCCATCACTGAGTGCCACGAAGACCCAAGATCAACATTAATACGGGAACCACACGTGGACACGTGAAAGGCTCATGTAAGCCCTGCAGTTAGAAATCAGCCTGCCCATGCAGGAGGCCCACAGGAGGGACTCCTTTCCTGGCGTGCAGCTCCCCGGGCACCCCAGATGTTGTCCTACCCTTGGAAGGCTGTCTTCACCAGCTGGTTGTGCCTCTGCTCTGGGAAGCAGCTGGTACCATTGTCCTTTTTCATCTTCAAAGTCCGTGTTTGAAATAAAAGCCTCCTTTTTTTGGGGAGTCCTGTGTCTTCACACATCCCACAGGGCGGTTAAGGAAGTGGGGGGTGTCACTGCTCCCCTACATCTGTGCTTTCTCCCACTGCCTGAGGAGCTGGACAGCGTTTTAGAGGAGCATCCTCCCAGAAAGACGCTTTTCAGGGTGCCCTCAGACACCAGTCAGAAGCATTTGGGATCCTGTTTGAAGTGCAGGTTCCCATGCCTACCCAGGACACCGGACTGGACTCTCTGGGTGTCAGCTCCTGGACACATTCCTTAGGAACCATAGCTATGAGGTGCCCAGATCTTGAAGCTTGAAACATTGGGCTCTAGGCCACAGAAGCCCATAATGGTTAGACACACGGTGGGGGGTTGGCATCTGTGTGAGTCCAAATTCCTTGTCCACCTGCCATCCCACCTTCCTGTCCAGTACTGGTGTCTCAGGCCAAGGTCACACTTTGCAGCCCACCCTCCATCCATGGAGCTGAGCACGATCGGCTCAGTATCACCTCCTCTAGGAAGCCTTGCCCTTCTGCCCATGCTATCCTCCCTGCTCCACATGGTGTCCGTGTGTCCGGGTCTGTCCCCACCTGGGGGGGTGAGCAAGTAGTCCCACATACACAGACTTAAGTGGGCCCTGAGCTCCTGCAGGACAAGGCCAGGGTCTGACCTGTCCCAGTGCAGCTGTGTGACCCCAGGATGAAATGCAACTGTGATGTTCTCGGCCCTTAGAGGGACAAACACAAGCCAGCTCCCAGGGGTCTTGTCAGGATTACATGAGAAAAGGTATGTAGCCAACACCTGATAAGCAACACTCATTGCTTCTGCTATTGTTGAGTGGTGGTGTTGTTCATCAGGGGTATCGAGTTGATCCTGACTCACAGAGACCCCGTATGACAGAGGAGAACTGCCCAACAGAGAACTTTAGGTTGTCATAGTCACAGGAGCCAGACTGCTAGATATTTCTCCTGCAGAGTGGTCAGGGGTTTGAACTATCAGCCTTACTGTTAGCAGCAGAATGCTTCACTGTTATGCTACCAGAGCTCCTTACGGTGATGGAAGAAGGGGCTCTAGGTCAACATCCCAGCTTTTGACCAAGAGGGAAACAGCAGGCTTGGTCCCAGGAATGGATGACCCCCTCCCTCTTCCTGATGATCCACAGACCAGCGGGACCAGGGAAGATCAAAAGCTGTCATGAAGCTGGCTGGGTACCCCAGGCCAAGCCACCCTGGATCAAGGCCAGTGGTCAGCTGAGTTTACAGTAACACGCTGACACCAGGGGCAGGCCTGGACACTCAGGGTGGGGCCGGCTGATGCATGAGGTCAGGAGCCTTTGCAAATGGTGATGCTCCCCCCATCCCCAGACAGAGCCACAAGGGCCATGCTTGTGCCCACCTCTTGCCGTGGGTCTTCTGCAAACCTCTGGATCACGTACTTCAGTTCCCTGAAAGGCATGAGGCAGGAGTGGGCTCAGTCCTGGCTGCGGTAGGGAGAAGGGGGCAGGCCACAAAGGACAAGGGCAGGGGGGCAGGGGCCGGTCGGGCCACTCCAGGAAATGCCTGGATGGACCTGGACTCCTGGGCTGCATGCGGGACAGAGGAGGAGTTGGGGGAAGGGCTGACCCCAGGACACAGGATGGGTCCCAAATGAAGGCAATGTCTAGATACTCACTGGGTGAACTTCTCATGTGCCAGCGCCCTGAGACAAAACAAAGGGTGACAGTTAGTTGGGTCCTGACTCAGAGACCTCTCTGTGGGGATGTCTAGTCTTATGTGTGACTCCAAGGACGACAATGGAATGGCAAGACTTGACTCTACTCAAAACACTCAGAACACAAAGGCCCCTCTGCTGAAGTGCTGGGTCACGGTAACAGGCTTTAGTGAGCCCCAGCCCCCGCCAGGGCGCACACCTGTACACAGGTATACACAGGTGTCCACACGTCTAAGGGAGTGGCGCTAACACAGGGGGTGTGGGCCACGCAGGGGCACCAGGGACCCAGGTGTGCACATTAATTGTTCCACAATTAAGCTGCAGACCACTAATCACCGGGCACATCAGGAGGCCCCTGGGACCATGCCTCCACGCGCCTCTGACCTGTGGGACAGCAATGCGGTCGGTGACGCCATCGCTCTGCGGAGACGCAGCAGTCTGAGGAGTTAGATTTCTCCGGTTTCAGGTCTGGGGGGGCCCCTGGGACCAACCGGGCCAGCAAATGGGGCCATTACTGAGTATAATGTCCCCCCAGAGAGCCACACTGCACAAACACAGGCTTGTTAATGGACTCCTGAGAGGGACCTCGCGGCCTCCGGAGGCCCAGCCCCTCCATCGATCACAACAGAGGCCCAGAGGCACGTTCAGGCCTGGTGATGAGGGCACAACCTGCCACTGCCTTCCTGCAAAAGACTCAGCATTGGGGTGAGGCTGGCGGGAGGGTGGTGAGGCCCATCCCCTGGTCCTCTCGTTGCTTTGTGCCTGGGGAAAGGTGGGCACCCCACCCCCACCTGACTCAGAATGTAGACTGCCTGTGTCCTTATCTCAGCCCCAGGAAGTTACTCCGGCCATCTCCCTAGGGCCCGTGGAGGACCTGGCTGAGTACAGACCCTCAGCTCTGCTGCTGGCTTGTGGGCCTCCCGCCATGCCCTCAACAGTCCCGGGAGGCCACTGGCCCCCACCTCCACAGCTTCAGTGAGAGACGGAGGTGACTCTCACAGGTTGGATGTTCCGGAAACAAACATGGACTTACTCCTTGGGGAATGGGATGGGTTGGAGCAAGCTGGCCAGTGATGGTCTCCAGTCATCGTAGTCTGACCTAGATGGAGAGACGGGCGGTCAGGGTTAGCATGGACAAGGAGAAGGGTAGGGTCCACAATACCCCGACTGCCACAAGGCCTGGGGAGGGGACGACATTTGATATTTTTGGCGTGACCCCGATATGCCACAGGTCCTGACCAGAGTCCTACACACTCCTGTCCGATGGAGCCTGGGGCATCAGCACTCAAACCCCCCTGTGAACCAGCAGCAGGGCAGGCCAGAACAGCAAGTCCACACTCACTGGGAGGGACCAGAAAGGGGTGGTCACTATAGGCCAAGTCACAAAAGTTAGGGGCCAGTAAGGTCCCTGGAGGACGGGTAGAGAGTGGTTTGAGCGCGTCTTGGTAACTGAAAGGTCAGCAGGTCAAAGGCACGCAGCAGCCCTGAAGGAGAAACCGTGCTGACAATTGGAGTCCGTAATGATGACAGCCTAGAAAACGCTGTGGATCAGCGGGTCTCCAAACTCACAAATACTTTCCAGTTCAAACACACCGGCCTCTCCTCGGAAGAAAGAGGAGGCTGCCGGTTCCTGTACAGATTTACAGGCTCGGAAACCCAGGGGCAGCTCTCCTCTGTCCTACAGGGTGACGGGGAGTCAGGATTAACTCTATGGAAGTGGGTTTGGTTTGGGTTTAGTCTTGCTTCCAGACATTTAACACAAATGGTAATACCAGCCATCCCATAAATACTAGTAATAATAATGAGGACGTAACAGCAGCTGCTTTCTACAAGCACCTCAGCTCATTTATTCCTCGCAGTCATGAGAGAACAAGACCGCCCCGCTGGACAGATGGGGAAACAGGCGTCAACTGGCCTAGCCCCAAGTGGCTCATGTCTAAGCCGCCCTGAGCCCATAGCACTCACTCCCCATTGCCCTGGGGCCAGCCTCGGACTCCCTGTCACCCTCTCTCCCCATGTCGTCACAGTTAGAGTCACCCCGCAGCAAGAAGAGGGGTTTCAGGCTCTGCCCAGGTCCAGCCACACGTGTTCAGTACAAAAGGCAGCGTGCACACGACTTTCAGCAACAGGACCACTGTGTGCGCGCAGACACGGCCTGCCTCAAGTGTGAATGCATAACCACGCTCTTCCCCGGCTGCCCTCAGACCCGGAAACCAGACTGGATGCTGCATCCCACGAGACAGGAATGATAGGAACCCCTATCTTAGAGGTGGGTAAACTGAGGCTCAGTGATGATTTGTAATGCACCTTGAGTTTCTCACTGGAAGAACTAAGATGTGATGTCAGCGGCTTCTGAGGCCAAGACCCATGCATTCTCTGTCATAGTGTGGGCCCTTCCTGAATGAACCACACACCTATAGTGCACGTTTACAGCCAGCCCCGTCCCACCGACCTAGAGCCCTCACCCTCTCGGGCTTCAGGCACGTGCTGAAAAGCAAACCTAGAGGTGGTCTGCTCCACAGACCTGCGCACATGGGTCACCAGGAATCAGAACTGACTCAATGGCTACTAAGAAGCCCATCTACATTTTACCTAGAAACCTTAAGGTAGTGCTTCTGCAGCTGAATTCCAGCGCATCGAGGCCTCTCTCAAGCAGCCAGATGTGTCTGATGAGAGGAGCCCAGTGCAGCCCCCGTCCCCCTCCCCCCAGACGGGGGCTCCCTCCTCAGCTGTATAAACTCAACGGTATGACTACTCTCAGGAATCTCTAAAAATGGAGACAAACCAGGCTTCTGTCCAGTGGATTCCAACTCCTGGTGACCCCGTGTGTACAGAGCAGACCTTTCCTCCAAGGGGCTTGTGAGTGGATCTGAACTGCTAACCTCTAGGTTTGTTCTCAGGGACTCCACTGTTTTCACCCCTCAGGAAATCAACACAGAGGCAACAGGGTTGCAACCGTAAACCACGTTAAGTTCTTGTGGCCAGGTGTGTCTGAGGGTACTAGAGTCCCCTCCTATGGGTGCTCTGAGGCCCCTGGGCAGCTCTGTGTGCCCTGCTGCCCAGCTGGGAGCTGCCCCCACAGCTAAGAGGTGGCACCACTGGAACTTGACCCGAGGACTCGCTGAATGTACACCTGCTTTTACCGAGCCTCACACTCTGCAGCCTTCAGAGATGCTGGAGTGGTTAGGCTCCAATGTGCTGGAGGCACGATAATCCCCCAGAGATCCTGGTAGCCATTTATCACCGAGTCAACAACAGTCCAACTGGAGGCCTGAGCCCCCCCAAGGTCACAGAGGTACCTGGAAGCATAGCCCCTGCTTTGTGGACACCTCTGGGTGGAGGTAATCTGCTGCTTGGAGCAGGGAACCTGCCAGCCACCCGACCTCCCTGGGTCCCATCTGAAACTCCTCCCTGACTCCTGCCATGAGGTAGCCCCTGCCCCCCCACCCCCACCACAGCCTGGTCCCCCGCCCACGCGAAGCCACAGCCACCCAAGGCCTGGCAGTGGGGCCATGAGGGCAGGCAGGAGGTCTGGAAGCAGACCAGGAAGAACAGAACCCTTCTTCATGAGTGTGTTTGTGAAGAAGAAAAACAAAGTGTGCCTACTGCATGCTGAAACTCAAGCCCTTAGTACTCAACGAGAAATCCGAATCCGCACCCGAGACAGCAACAGGTCTGAGAGCCGCTGCTCAGGGCGTGACAGGGGCGGGGGGCAGTCCCTGCTTTGATCCGAGTCAGGAGCTCCTGACCAGGGCCTCAGGGCCATGGCTGGCCTGTCCCCCGGGGACACAGAAGCAGGGTTGGCTTTTCGACTGCTCCTCTGCTAGAGGCCACTACTGAGGACAGGGTGTCTCCACCCTCCCCTCTGTGGGGCCAAAGCAAGGGCCGGGGTGAAGGCTGTGCATTCCAGCTGGTGGAGGACGGTCAGCCTGTTCTCCTTCTGACCACTAGAAGCCACTCAACAGTGTGAATGTGTGTGTGGGAGCGAGCATATGCATGTGCACGTGCTCACCTTCACCGATACCCCCCCACAGGGGCAGCCGAGTGAGGGCAGCAACAATACAGCGACTCTGTGAAGCCCCGTCAGGGCCAAGAAGTCGGAAGCCAGGTTGGCTGCAGCCGTCCACACCCCTAACTGGTGGCCTCTGATGCCTCGACTCATGGCTGCTGACCACCGTCAGACCCCTGATCCCTTTGAGATGCCCAGGACCATCACTGATCGGACTCGAGGTGTCCAGTGGTAGATAGAGCTTGAGTCTGAAGGATGGGGTTTATGGAGCAAGTGGCCAGTGGGGGCTCAGGCTGAGGCATGCGAGACTGAGCCAGGTACCAGGAGTTAGTGGTGCTTGTTGAGCTGGAAAGGCCCTTGGGGATCCCCCAGGATGAAGGGTATCCCCACTCCAAAGCCGCAGGGCCCACAGAGGGGCAGAGACAGGCGCAAACCACCCAGCTCAGAAGCAGTACCTCCCACAGTGGACCCGGGGTCTTAACTCAAGCTTCCCCACCAGCCAGGTTTGCGCTAGGCTGGGACCCACAGCTCTGTGTGCCCTTCACACACCCCCAAACAGTGCTTACCCAGGACTTTTCTGGGGACCCAGAAAAGTTGTTCTTCAAGCAGATACTTCCCTGACAGAAACCCACGCACTCCCACATGGAGACATGCACACCACAGTGGTGAGCACACACAAGCACACAGACCCCCATACTCACACACAACTTCATACCTGCACCCTAGACACACCACCCAAGCACACACAACACGAGTGTGCACAGACCACACAACACTCACACCAGTGCGCACACACACACACCCTACCCCTCATGCACACTTACACTCAACAATCAAGCACCCCCAATTGTCTGTGCATACACTCAGTACAAGTACCCAGACACTCACATGTGCACATATTCAAACATGCACACGTTCACACGCATATGCAAAACACCCAGACAGGCCCACAGCCATCTACTCAGCTGTCCACATACCAGCCCAGACAGATGACACACACCTGTGCTGTTATCCCAAGCTCGGCAGGAGTGCTCACTACCCCCCACATTGGCACACATGCTATACACCCCAAACAGGTGCCTTCCTACACTCACACGCACCCCCAGGACAAGCGTGCAGCCAGTCCCCCCGCCCCGGGAGGCACTCACAGCAGTTTGAGGATCTCCACATAGCAGCCGAGCGTGCGGTCAGCCTGGGGGCCCAGCTCGATGCTCATGGTGCTGCAGGCGGGACTGACCATGAGGCAGTCGATCAGGTTGGGTTCGCTATCATTGCCTGCGCTGGCTGTCAGCGCCGGCGTGCCAGTGCTGGTGCGTTCCACTTCCACGTGGATCTCGCTCGAGGTCACAACCGCCGACTTGAGGCGTGCCTCAGACAGCGTGGCTCCCTGAGACACCAGGTCCGGGCTGGGGTGCAGAAGACGCAGAGGTAAGGTGGGCTTCCGGTCACAGGGCTGCTGGCAGCCGTTCCGGATCTCCTTCAGGCTGGGGGAGTTGTCTCGGCTGCAGGGAGAAATGGGAGTGGGCATGAGTCAGCGAAGAGGCCCTTACGATGCCCCTGGCACTGGGCTAACTGCCTCCCAAATCCCCACAACAGCCACCAGTGCCTGGTCTATTTCCGTAAGACCAAGCAGGAAACTGAGGCTCGGTCTGGGGGTGGGGGCTGTTGTTAAATGCCATTGAGTTGATTCCGACCCATAGCGACCCCGTATAGGGTTTCCGAGGAGCAGCCTGTGACCCAGCACATAGCAGATGCTCAGTAAACATGTGGTGGGTGAACAAGCGTGTGTTAGTACCGACGCTTCACCGGCCAAGACGCCCTCACAACATACAAGGACTCCCACAATTTCCTGTCTAGATGCTTTAGACGTCTGGCTGCCACCCCAGGTTGATGCTGCGCTTTGCTTCTGGGCCCTAAAGCTCAGGTTCCCCTAGACCTGGGAAGCTACTTCCAGGGGATTCCCAAACCCAGCATTCCTGGGCCCTGGGGTCTTCAGGTCCCTCCTGTGCTCAGCATCCCCACCCCACCAGTCACCTGATTGTTAATCATCTGGGGATTGAGAAAAGGGTCCTGTGGCATCATTAATGACTGCTTTGGGAATTGCTGGGTTACACAAATTCTGTCTCAATGTGGAGGGACTTGTAAGGGCCTTGAGCCTGGCTAAAAGGCCTCCTTCTCGTGCAGGCTCCTACTCAGAAAACAGCCCTGTGTTCTGTGTCTTTAGTGCAGGTTCTAACATAGCAGGGCCGTTTACATGGACCACCTCAGGCGCTGTTGTCCTGGGACTCTGCGACACCATAAACCCTTCCTGGCTTTCTTTGGAAGGGGTGTTCCAGGTGTGCTGGGACTGGGAGTTGAAACCAGGTTCCCCAACACCCTGACTTCTCAGAGCACCTGAGAACCTGTTCAGGACCCCTCCTCCAGGAAGTCTTGCGGGATTTCTTCTTACCACTGTCCCCTCCTTCCTGAGCTCCCAGCGCTATACAACTCTGGCCTCATACCCACCTTCCCTGAGGCCCTGCTAGGCAGACCAAAGCCCACAGCAATTCCACCAGAGTCTCTGGGTGGAGTGCCCATGGGTGTCAAAGCTGAAGGCCTGCACTAAAGACACAGAACACCAGGGCTGCCCCCTCCCTCCCTGGGTCTTAAAGGTTCCTGCAGCCAGCAGTGCCTGGTGCGCAGGAGGCCTGGCTTTATCCAGCACATCTGATGGTTAGGTTGGGCGGCGCCCACCAAGGGTGTTTAATAAACAAACACACTTGAAACTCTGCTGCAGCATGTGGGGGGGCTGAGGTCCGCAGGGTGTGGGTGGTCCAAGCGGGAGGGAGGCCTGAGTATCTGGAAGGGCTCAGACCTGGTTTCCTCCCAAAGTGCTCAGCGCTCCCCTCCCTTTGTTTGCCTCTCCTGGACTCTCCGAGCGGGTTTTCAAGGCTGTTTGGCTCTGATGGGTGATTTTCCAGAGAGCCATGCTAACCTGGGTCAAGCTGTCTGTTCTCGTGTATGTGAGTACATCTTGTACCACTGGGGGCAGGGCCTTCATAGGGCATCACAGGCCTGAATCATGTGGGCCTGGATGGAGCTGAGCTCGAGGCCCCGGGGACAACTTCCAGGAAGAGCTCAAAAGCACTGGACACGCATGTGAGCTGGGGGGCTCGAACTCTCCCCCTCCCAGGCCTCCATCCTGGGCACCTCTTCAGAGAGCTGTTCCCCAGCCCCTCAGTCCTCCAGCAGAATTTAAAATCAAAACCAAAGGAAACTTCAGGACACGAAATTCCCATGTTATCGCTCCTATACTTAAAACTGGTTCACACCCAAAGACAAAGTCCAGGAGGCAGGAAGCGGTAGGCAAGAAGGATAGACGGAAACATGGAACCCAGGGAGGAAGGGGGTCAAGGGTTGTTACAGTGAGGGGGTGACAGTCAATGACACAAAACAAAATGTGTAGGAATTGTCTGCTGGGAAACTGACTTGCTCTGTAAACCCACACAACAATCAAAAGTTCAAAGATAAAAGAAACACCACGCATTCTCACACCAAAACCAAACCAACAACAACAACAAAAACCCATTCACAACTTGCCAGCACTCTTAGAATAAAAATTTCGAGCCTTCAACAGAGGAGTCCATGGTTGGCACAAAGTGTTAAAGCGCTCAGCTGCTAACCAAAAGGTTGGAGGTTCAAATCCACCCAGAGGCAGCTGGAGATCTGCTACTGAAAATTCAGCCACTGAAAACTCTACAGAGCACAGCACTACTGTGACACAGTGGGTGGACATGCCGGTCAGTGGCCCACCACCCTGCTACGCAGATGGATGGGTACACCACTGGAGCGAGTCAGAAATGAAGAGTCCCAGGTTCCACCCAGGCCTGAATCTGACCCTGCCTTGTAGCAGGACCCCAGGTGAGTCCTCGGTCTAAGTAGGTCAGCTCTGTCTCCTCACTCTGCCCACAAACCAAACTCATTACCATGACTGGATTCTGACTCACAGACACCCTACAGGGCAGAGTGGAATTCTCCTGGGGGGTGAGGGTGGGGGTGGGAGTGTGTCCAAGGCTGGGCATCTCTAAGGAAGCATACAGCCTCAGCTTTCTCCTGAGGAGAAGCTGGTGGGTTTGAACCACAGACTTTTCAGTTTTAACAGTTCAACGATTAACCCACTGCGCCACCACGGCTCCTCCTCTCTGCCCAGTCACATTCCGTTCCTTCCAGTCCTTCCCCTGCAGTGGACTCAACCTTCAGCGTGTCAGACAGCCACCATGAAGTTTGTTAAGAATGCAGATTCCTTGGCCCCGCCTGAAATGCTGCGTGTTAAGAAAAGGCCTAGGAGGTTCTGAGCTGTTACAGTAGGTGGTGACCAGAGGCAGAGCCACCTGTTGGCCTGGGCCACCCCCTTCCTGGCTCCAGCGTGCTAACAGTCAGTCTCCATTTAATATCCTTTCCCGGGGGACCTTCCTAGCCCCCTAGAACTGGGATTCTCAACTCTGGCCACATGATGGGTCCTAACGGAATGCTGGCTGTTCAAGGATGTGGCTAGCAGTCTGCTTCCCCACAGACTGACAACCACAGGGCTGATGTATGCTTTGCTCTGGTATTCTTATTTTCCAAAGCCTTCCCAAACAACAACAAAACCCCCGCCAAGCCTGTTGCCGTCGAGTGGATTCTAAGTCACAGTGATGCTCTGGGACAGTCTGAGTGGAGCTGCTCTGTGGAGTCTCTCCTTAGCTGGGATTGGACTGGAAGGTCATTCTTCTGCAGCACTGCTAGCTGGCTGCGAACTGCCAACCTATAGGCTAGTTGTTGTTGTTGTTGTGTGCCGTTAAGTCGGTTCCGACCCATAGCGACCCTGTACAGGGTTTCCGAGGGTGTAAATCTTTACGGGAGTAGAAAGCCTCATCTTTCTCCCGCGGAGCGGCTGGTAGTTTCGAACTGCTGACCTTAAGGTTCGCAGCCTGATTCGTAACCACTACGCTACCAGAGCTCCTGCTAGTAGTCCAGTGCAAACTGTCTGCACTACTTTAAATGTCTCCACCCCCATAAAGCACAAGCCCTGTGATGGCCAGGGCTAGACGGCTGGCTGACTTTGGCACCGTCAGGCCCCAGCCCCGAGAGCCCCGCGATGCAGGAGAGGAGGGACAAGGACCGGCTATCATGCTCCTGTGCTCTGGACCTCTCCGGGTGGCAGATCCTGGACAGGGCCTGGAGTGGAGGCTGGGAGAGCTCTCCAGTCTCTCTGGCCTGCTTCCTGCCCTCAGTCCAGGGGGCTGCCGGGGTCATTTCCTGCTTCCTCTCTGTCTCTGCCTGTCTCAGCTCAGGTGTCCATGGAGCAGGCCCAGGGAGGCTCCAAGAGAAGTCAGGGGGAGGAGGATGGTGTCTGCTCTGCCTGCTCCCAGGAGCCACAGGGCAGTCTGCAATGGACATGCGGGTAATAGACAGCAGGACTCGAGGGCAGCCTTGGATGGTTGCACAGGTCGTGCACTGCCGGACACCAGTGGTGCTGGGTACACTGAGGTCCCCTTAGAATCACGCAGTGGACCATAGGCACGCAGGACAGCCACTGCAGACATGGTCATCCCTGCCCACCAGATCCCTTCCAAGGACCCCTGCAGTCCCTAACAGCATCCTGCATTGCTCTACACCCCAGGAACAGCCCTCAATGGGAAGAAGTAGAAGCCCAGGCACCTGCTTACCAACACACCCATAGCCAGCTGTCCTCTCCTGAGTCTCCCTCCCTGCTTCCCAGGAGCTCCTCCTGGTCCTAGCCTCACTTTCAGGGGTTCCTGTTGTCAGAGCATGTCTGCCCGTGTACCTGAACGTGCACTCCCACTGGTGGAGTATAAGCCCCAGGCGGGCAGGTGATTTGTGCTAGGGTTGTTTGCTTCCAGCATCTGAAGCAGTGCTGGGCACATAGCAGGCATTCAGCACACAGAGGCAAACCGTGGGCAGGACAGCATAGAGGGGTGTATGACTACACACATGTACACACACACACACACTCGCACATGCCTACACATTCAACCGCATGCACACAAAGCTCAGCCTTAAGACTTGGGGTGTCTCTGTATGGGGTCCCTCTGGCTGCAGCTACTGACCTGTTGATGAACTCTTCATAGCAGGAGTAGATGGCCGCCAGGCACACGGCCACCAGGTTGGGCAGGACCCGGGGATGGGGGCAGTGCCCCGTGGGACCATGCATGCTGGAAGAGAGTGAAGAGAGGGTAAGAAGGCTGTGGGGCCCAGTCGACAGCCAGGCTGCCCTGCCCTGCCAGCAGGAGTAAAGCTCTAGGTACCTTGTTCAAACCCAGGTACTTAACTCTCACTAGCCTCAGTTTCCTTAGCTGTGAAAAGGGGACAGAGCAAGGATCAAATTTCTGAATTCATGGGATGAGCTTAGCATACTGTGACCATAAGTTCTGGGGCACTCGAGTTGGTTCTAGAATAATTATCCATAACACTCCTTTACTCTCAACCGTGTACCAGTTGGTGAAGGGGGAGAGAAAGGAATAGCTAGAAATATCACCATAGAAAGCCTGTATGTCCATCTTCTGCCTATAACTCACTGGAATACCTAAAATGGGGCTACAACATGCCCAGTGAAGGAGGCTTCCTGCGGAGCCTCTGCATTACGTTAAGACTATAGGTGGAATCTGAGCAGCATCCAGAATCTTCAGAGGTGGGAGCCCCCTTCTTGGGGGTTGGGGGATGCCCTGGGATCCTCTCATCAGACACATCTGGCTACTTGAAGAGAGGCCTTGATGCGCTGGAATTCAGCTGCAGAAGTACTACCTCAAGGTGACCACTCTCACACCTACAGAGATTTTTCCTGAAGAGACACTTCAAAGCATGCTAGTGGTCCGGGGCACCTGGCAGGATGTGCTGTTTGGGACTGAACATTGTCAGTGCCAGGTGAGGGTAAGGAGGAAGCAGGTGGCAGCGGGCTGGTTTAAACAGCTCAGTTTGACAGCTAACACGTGCTGTGCTCATGTGCTGAACATGGCTTTGCTCATTGGATTCTAACGCTGACTAAGGGGGTGCACTACAATTCTTATTTTACAGATGAGGAACTAAGGCAAAGAGTGCTAATTAAAAGAAACAGCGAAAACCAACAACAAAAATACCCTACCAGAAAAAAATACTGGGGAGGTGGCTATTCAAGTCACTCCAGACAAAGGACCTGGGGAAGCAGTGACCTCATCGAGAACTGTCAGGGGGCACAGCTCCAGGGGTTCCTTACCTACTATCCCATTTCACCTCTTAGATAGCTGAGGGATCTGAGGACCAGAGAGGGGCAGTGGCGGGCTCAATGCCACACAGCAAGTGGTGGTCTCAGACCAGAGGAGACACTGACCCTGCCCCCAGGGAACACTGCCAGCAGATTGGGGAGGGGGGTGCCCACCTCTGAATGAACTTCTTCACCACTTCCATCCCCGCGTTGAGCTCGTTCAAGGCAAGGATGTACTCCTGAGTAAACAGTCTCAGTCTCGGGCACTTCCCAAAGTCCTGCGGAGAGAGGAGAGGGCACGGGCTGGGGTCACGCTGCGCTGACGCTGCCTAGGAGGCTGCGGTGGAAGGCAGCGTGGAGACATCACCATCTTCCTCTTTCTAGATGGACGCACTTTTCACTAGAAAACCTTGGCCCCGTCAAACCCTCTTCCAGGGAGCTGTGCAGACATGCTGAGAAACAGGCCCCTAGGGAACCCAGAAATGCTTCCTGCACCCAGTGGAGCGTTCCAGGCACAGCGATTTTGTTTAAAGAGACTGCTGAGTCCACATGCATCATGGCCATGGCCCAGCTCGCCAGAAAGGCAACTGAAGGATACATGGTGGTCTCCAGGCTCACCCCTCCCCTCCCCCCAGAACCTCACCCTCTGTGGAGGAGCCTCAGAATGCTTGTCTATGAAGGACAGACAGTGAAGCCCTTCCTTCCACCAAGCAGCTGACTGATCTTTGGTCTAGGAACTCTGAGATTCTTCCTCTCGGGACTTCTGTGTGCCCAGCAGGTGATGGGGCAATGCTATGTCTGCAGAACAGGAAGGCTGAATTCAAGGCCACCAGGGGGTGCAGCGTACGGTGGCCCACTTCCCCAAGTCTAGCATAGTGGTTACGAATTGGGCTGCAAACCTTAAGGCCAGCAGTTTGAAACTACCAGCCGCTCCGCGGGAGAAAGATGAGGCATTCTGCTCCTGTAAAGATTTACAGCTTCGGAAACCCTATACAGGGTCGCTATGGGTCGGAACTGACTCAAAGGCACTTAACAACAACACAAGGCGTCCCCTTACTGAGGGGCTCTGCATCTGGGTGAGGAGGGCTCATGATAACCAGCACCCCACTAAGCAGATGGATGGAGGCAAACTCGGCACACTCATTATAACAAGTGGCCCAATCCCTACTCCCTGAAGCTGGGAGCCCAGCGGATTCCTAAGAATTAGGGAGGATTTGCACAGGGGGCAAATCCCAACAACTGCCCTGACTTCTGCTTCGTTGCTAGGATTATATGAGATCATGTCTCCTCTGCCCAGCACAGGTGTAATCACTACCCGACCGGCCTGCCCGGCCTTTGTCTGTCTGCAGCTGGGTCCCTATGGAGCTCACAGCTTATAATTAGGAGACGCCAGGAACAGAGGAGTCAGGATGGTTCACAGTATCCCTGGATGCCCAGAGCACTTAGGGGCTCTGTCCTAAGGCTGTTCGGATTTTGTTTTGTATTACCCAGATAACACTCCTGGCCCATAAAGTAACCAAACACAGTTGTACCGTGAGTTACTACACTTCGCTCTGCTGCATGTTGCAGATACTGAGTTTTGGTTTTAAATGGCAGGTTTGTGGCACACCTTCATGGTGCAAGTCTGCCGGCACCATTTTTCCATTAGCATGTGCTTACTTGATGTCTTTGTGTCCCCCCCACTTTCGGGCATCTCACATATTTCTGGTCTAGTGTGAGCGCCTCTTCTACAGGCATTGGGAAACCGAACAATGCACGTGACTAGCCTGATTGTGATCCTTGCTCCTAGGTCTGGACCCAAACATACAGCTTCTCCGAGCTATGCCTGGGTAAGCTGTGGGAGCTGTCTGAATTCTGACTTGTTTCCTTTAAAGTCAAATATCCCAAAACGGCCCTTATAAATAGCTTAATGATAATGATGCTACATTCTAAAAGGTTTATGGGCCTTGGGCTAAGTGTGCTTGGGGGTGTGGGTTCTGCAGCAGCCAGTGTGATGGGGACAAGGACAAAGTCCTTGAAGGGGAAACCTGCCCTCTGGACTCAGCAAGGGTGTGGCTCAGACCAAGGCCACACCCACAAGTGATTTTAAAGTTCACAAGCACAGAGCTCCCTCCCAGCCCACCAAAATGCAAAAGGCCCTTTCAGGAGACTGTAAAAGTTCATACGAAGATAGAAACGAAAAAGAAGCCATCCCAAATCAAGAGGGGTATTGGCAGCAAACAACAGCTTAGTTAAAGCTGTGGCAGTTTAGGGCAGTGAGTGGTACAACAAAGTTTCACTTCTGTACCCACATGGGTCAGTGGGCTGCCTGGGATGCTGTATTGAGAAACATTCTGGAGCTGCCCCTGACTTCTGCAGAATGAGTGCTGAAATCGATTAATGATGTCTGCCATGGGCGAAGCAGTCCTCAGTGGCAGGCACGGAGCCTCAGCCCACCTCCCTGGTTGAGGAGGTCGGGCGTGGGGGCTGGAGAAACTCACCATGTTATGCTTGAGGATTCTCTGGACCACAGGGGTGAACACTTCAATGACCACCATGGATCGGGGCCGCTCTCTGCAGTGCTGGGGAGAGAGGAGGGCGTGGTCAGCATGGGGCTGGGGAGGGCTTGGCTGTGATCACTGGGCTTGTGACCATTCTGACCAGGGCAGTGACCCTGCAATGGGCGCCTGGGGGGCCTACTGATGCACACCTTTTCCAAGGAGGGGTACACAGGGACGGGAGTTTTTGTTTTCATCATCAACTCTGGGATTGCACACGCTGGTAGACAAGTATCTGTGCTGATGAGATCCTTATACAGCATCACAAAATAACTGCAGAATTGAGACTCACAACACACAATGTGATAAAGAACTCTCTCTCAAAAACTGGGCAGGAGAATACCAGGGGTTTAGGGTTTGGAGGAAGTGCCTGGGTGTGTAAACACTGCGTAGCTTGCCTGTTAACCAAAAGGTTGAAGGTTATAATCCACCCAGAGGTGCATCAGAAGAAAGGTCTGGCAACCCACTTCCACCAAAGCATCCATGGAAGACCCTGGGGAGCATAGTTCTCCTCTGATACACATGGGGCACCAGGAGTGCAACTGATCGGTCTTGCTTTTCTTTTAGGTGTCGAGACAAGAATCTCCAAAATTCTGTTTCTCCGTTTGTTAAAGAAGCCCTAGTGGAACAGTGGTTAAAGCGCTCAGCTGCTAACCAAAGGGTCAGCAGTTCAAACATACCAGCTATCTGGCAGGAGAAAGTTGGGGCAGTCAGCGTCTGTGAAAATGTCCAGGAAACCCTATGGGGCAGTTCTACTCTGTCCCATGAGCTGGAATTGCCTCGACCACAGTGCGTTTGTTTTCGTTTTGTTGGTGGCTTGGTTTTCCACTGTGTGCTCTGATAGTCTGGCACTTGCTCGCAGGACAAGCCTGACTCTTCAGGGTATTTTATTTTGCCAACCTGGAGCTTTTGAAACACTGGCACTGAAGGCCTTTAGGTAGAGCAGATAGGCCTGCACAAACTCATTCCTGCCCAGCCCTCAGGAACTGAATTTCTACCCCGGGATGAGGAGAACGGGTTGGGATATAAAAATCCGGGCTCTCCTGGGAATCCCGATATAAATACATTTTCCTCAGATCTTGGGGCCGCCAGCCTTTAGGCCTGATGGGAAAGGCCACCCTGAGCATCCAGAGAGCTGGCTGAGCATGGACACAGTGGCCCTTCCTTCCCTCAGATTCTCCTCTGGGCAGGCTGACTGTGGCTTTGGACCCTCCACCAGAGGGAAAACAACTGGAAGGGGGCTGGGCCCTCCTGCCATCAGGTCTCCTCCACCCCACTGTTCTGCAACTGGCCTGCCAGGCATCCTCAGAGCCAGCCTGGATGGGGAAGGTTGAGAGAGAAAGACCCCGTCCACTGACAGCTCCACTTGCTGCCTTACTGGTGTGAGGTGTGGGGCTGTGGAAGGAGGCAGGGTCCCGTGCTCATGTGCCCACACACGGGAGTACCAAGGACTAGTGACATGAACCAGCAGGAAGAGTAGGACACAAGGGCTGGACAAGGTTGTCCACCTTTCCAGAGACACACAGTGAAGAACACACGAGGTGTGACCCCAGGCCGTGAGGTGCGTTCCTGGAAATGATGCGCCCTGAGTGTGACGTATGAAGCCCCCCTGTAGGGTCACCTGGTACTCCCTGACTACCTTCCCCTGGCCACCCTCACTGGGGCCAGCACACGAAGTCTCAGGGACCACTGACCAGCACCCAGCAGAACTGCTGGACTGTCTCCAAGCTGGGGGGAAAGGTGGCCATGCCTCTAAGTCCCACTGGCTGAACTCTGCGTCTGACATCTCAGCATCTGGCACAGGGGACTGCACCTAGCCTGCCTTCGCCTAGGTCCTTGGCCCTGCCCTTTCTGAAACATCATACCTTGCAGAAGAATTCACAGAGATCTGGTGGTGGATGGTTGTTTTCCAGCAAAGGAGCAATGGCCTGAAAAACAGCGAACAGTCAGCGGGAGCCTGAGTTGGCACACTGCCACCCTGTCACCGGTAGGTCTGGGTCCCTCAACAAGTGGGAGATCATGGCTCCATGGAGAAGCCCATAAAATCTCTTGACTGCCCATCCCAATACATTAGGGGCTTTGTGCCCCCCTGACGCCCACCCGTAGTCTCCACAGATCAACAAGCTCTGAGAGAACAGCATGACCAGGAGAGCCAGGTGACAGCTGCTCAGCTATAGAGTGGACAAGCTGACGTCTCCAAGTCACGGTGCCTCAGTCTCAGCGCTGCGGACATTTGGGGTCTGATCATTCTTCATGGTGGGAGGCTGTCCAGTGCATTAGGAGCCCTGGTGGCTCAGGGGTTGAAGTGCTCCGTGGCTGACAGGTAAGTGGTTTGAACCACCAGCTGCTCTGCTGGAGAAAGCTGTGACTCTCGACTTCTGTAAAGATCTGCGCCTTGGGAACCTTACGGAGCCAGTTCCACTCTTGTCCTACAGGGTCACTCTGGGTCAGAATCGACCCGATGACAGTGAGTCTCATGCACTGTAGGACTTTAGCAGCAGTTCTGAGTTTGAATTACTGGGGGCCAGTAGCAGCCTCACTTGGCTCCCAAAGATGGGACACGCAAAAATGTCTCCAGACACTGCCAAATGGCCTCTGGGAGCTCATGTTGGAGGAAAGGCCAGTCCTCAGGAGAGGCGAGCTGCTGGTGGTTAATGCCTTCGTGAAGTCTACTTTTCTCCCTCTGGCCACATGGGGCACAGGCCTGGGAAACAGGAGTCCCAGGACAGCTGTGCTGTATGACCTCGGGTGGACAAAATGGGAGAGACCAGAGCCACTTGTTACTAAACACAGGAACTGTTAGCCACGTGTCACAATTTCAGCTTTCACCAAAGTGACAGGAATCTTTTGAAGTGAAATAAAATCTAAAATTCAGATGCTCTGTTGTACTGAACACATTACAAAGTCAACCTTCCCATGGGGACTGAAGACCAGGGGGTGACCCAGGTGTCCTCTCAAAAGTCTCTAAATGGACCACCAGTTAGATTGTTACTACAAGGAGCCCTGCTGGTGCTGTGGGTTAGGTGCTGAGTCACTAACCGCATTGTCAACAGTTTTAGCCCACTAACTGTCTGCTCCTATAAAAATTTACAGTCTTGGAAACCCTATCTAGGGTCGCTGTAATTCAGAATCAACCGTGTTTGGCGGTTTTTGTTTTTTGTTTCACAACATCCCTAAAAGCATCGTCATGACTGCATTCTGAGCCGCGCTCCGAGCTCCCGGCAGTGTTTGACGGAATCTTCGCAGCATGCCGGGAGGTATGCATTAATACTATCCCCGTGACTCAGAAGAGGGCGTTGAGGGTCAGTGGGATAAGTATGTTGCCCACAGTAACCTCATTAAAAAGTGGTGGGACCAGGATTCAAACTCATTTCTGTCTGACAAAACCTGAGTTATTCCCTGAGCTATTTCATGGCACGGTCTCGCCACACGATCAGGAGACAACCGCCCATCCCATGGCAATAAAAGCAAAATGACCAGATGTGAGTCGGGCTCCGGGTTCTGGCTTGGCCAGCTAGCTCATTTTTGGCCGCCCGGTCCCTGGACAGCATATGGGTACCGTTTTCTGCCTCTTCCAGAAAAAGTCAATGCTGAGTCCTCTCGAAATGCTGCCCACTGTCCTCTCAGCTGCCCTGCAACCTGACGTGGCCAGCAGTACAAACACAGGAAGAGGCCCAGGGAGGCCAGCTCCACTAGCCAGATACAGCTGAGGGACCAATACAGAGGGATCCTGCACAGGATGTGGGCGCCATGGCGTGGGGAAAGAGTGGACATGAATGAAGTGACTGCGGCAGGTGGCTTTCCTGGCTGTCATCTAGTCCTGCTGACAACTGTGAGAAGTCAGACGTCCACTGTTTCCAGCTTTAGAGATGAAGACACAGAGGATCAGGGCGAGAAAACGGCCAGCATCGACAAAGAATGGCAGCAATTTTGAAATCCTTGCAGACTCCTGTGCCATATATAGCTCATTTCACTTGAGAGCAGCTCCAGGAAGACCATTCTTATCCCCGACTTACAGATGAGACTGAGGCTTGGAGCATTACTTTAACTGGAAATAATCTAGGTGGTCATTAGGCCAAATGAAAATACGCCAGAGACACTGGACAAATAGGAAAGGCCAGTGATTCTCAATCAAGGACGTTGAGCGTACCCAAGTGTAGAGACCTTTTGTCACAGTTTGCGGGGGGTGCTACTGGCATCTAGTGGGTGGAGGGCATGATGTTGCTCAGGACAGCCCCCCAAACAAACATGTGTTCAGCCCCAAGGGGAAGAAACCCAGGGGAATACAAACACAAAAAGACTCGGAAAAGCTAAATCAGGCGTTGTTAAGTGGGAAAATCCCCAATGCAGAACAACACAGCCAGCCGCACAACCACTAAGATCCAAGACAAAGTAAAAACCCAACTGTCGCCATCTTTGTCTGCAGGCTTGCACCAACTGAAAACAGCGGATGTCTCAGCTGAGGGCTCTGGAGTAGGGTGGGGAAATCACTTTTAAAATGGAAAAACAAAAACAAAAACAAAACACCTCATCTAGTGAAATGCTTGCGAGATTAAAAAAAATTCTAATAAAATTCAATACAACGACTGAATGGTTTGACTTTATGACTCACTCAAAGTGCAGCCTGTAGAAGATGGGACAGAACCTCAACTGGGCTCTCAGCTGAGCCCTAAAGCTGACCTCATGGTATGGGGAACAAGACAGGTGGGACTCTGGGGCCGGCAGTGACCTGCCAGCTGTCCCTAACCAGCTCATCGTCCAGCTTCCCCCGGGAATAAAACAGACCCAAGTTTCAGGGCAGAGGGAGGGAGGCACGTGAGAAACCCCAGCACAGAGAGGTGGAATTAAAGCCATGTAGCGTTGGCCTGAATGGTTCATCCTCATAAAGAGGGAGACTGTGGACGCACGGTGAAGGCAAGCTCACATTCCTCTCTGGTCTCAGACACTGCTGATCAGTGGGGATGCTCGGCCTGCCCCACTAAAGGGAACTGTAGCCTGCAGGTTGGTGGTCTGAGCCCACTGCAACTGCTCCGTGGGAGAAGATGAGGCAGTGTGCTTCCATAAAGATGACAGCCTTGCTCACCCCATGGGACACTTCAGCTCTGTCCTCCAGGGTCACTGTCGCTGGGACGGACTTGATGACAGTGGGCTTATTACAAAAGGAGAAGGTGGTGGTGGGTGGTTGGTAGCACCCAGACTTCTTGCCCTGCTCTGACAAGCTCAGGGTGCAACACGGAGCCCACACCCACTGAGCACCTACCACAGGCCTCTGTTTGTGATTCCCTGCCTTTGTGTCCATGGAACCAGCAGGGGAAGAGGCTGGGTATCCAGGCTGGGTTGCCAGGACCCAGTGTCCCTAAGAGGCAGGACGGTGGGCGCTGCCTTTGTTTCATGGGTTTTGGCTGAGCAGCCTCCTAGGCAGGCATTTTCCTGCTTTCTGGTCCTTGTCATACACACCCTGCCTCTCACATCCATTTCCAGCGTACCTCCCAACCACCCACCTCCTAATGCCTTTGCATGTCTGGAATGCCTTTTCCCTATTTCACCAACTAGAAAACTCCTACTGATCCTTCAAAGCCTAACTCAGACACCACTGCTTCTGGGAAGCCTTCTGGTGTGTCCATCCCGCCTCTATATTGCTGTGGTCACACTGATACTCCTACAACAGACAACACACTCCTTAGGGGCAGCAACTGCCTCCATCATCTCTGGATTCGAAGGCACAACACAGGGCTTGGCACCCAGAAGGTGCGACTTTGTGTTTTTTCTTCGCCCTGGTGAGATTCACATTCAGAAAAACCACTCTGGAAGCTGTTTTACCCCAAACATGCTTACATCATAACCAAGTCCCGGAAAATATCGTCTCATGTTACAGAGCAGAGGGAATTAAATTCAGGTTCTATTTGTGGATTAATTAGGAGATGTGTCCCGGGGCAAGAGAGACAACAGTTACCTTTCAAGCTAAAACGTTTCTGCCTCTGAATAAATTATATGGTCTCCGCTGTCTCCTGCCTCCAGAGCCCCACGGCTAGCTCAGGAAGGAGGAGGTGGTTAAAACACATTTGCTATAAACCTCAGAGACGGATAATTATCCCCTCCTCCAATCAACATGGCTCTGAGATGGGCAGGGGAGGAGGAAGACATGTCTGGTATGATGGAAAAGACAAAACCCAAGCCAGGTGATGGATCGCACTGGCGTTTCCATAATTAACTGATGGAAGGCAGACTCTGGCGGGCGGGGCGGCGAGCGAGAACTCACCACAATGATGTTTTCATGCTCTTGGGTAGTCAAGTTCGTGTTCTGAGGGATCGAATGGGGAGAGAAACAAACAGACAAAAAACAGTATTAAAATCATGGGGCGTTTGTACCCATACAACTCCAAAATGCTTTCAAGATCCTCTGGCGGTGGTGTTCATGCCGCCTCATGGCTACCCTGTGCATAAGAGTCCTGTGACCCACGTGGTTTTCACTGGCCAATTATCAGGACCAGATAGCCAGACCTTTCTTGCTAGTCTTCCATAGTAGGGAAGCTCTCTGAGTTAAAAACCTGTTCAGCATCTTGTTGTTTGTTGTTGTTGTGAAGTGCTGTCAAGTCGGTTCAGCATCTTAGTAGCATGCAAACCTCTAGTCTCAGATGGGCGGCGGTGTGCATGAAGTGCACTGGCCAGGAACTGACCCCAGATCTCCTAAGTGGGAGGTGAGAATTCTACCACTGACGTGCCACAGCCTCTTGGGCAGATGAGAACACCCGAAAAGGCAGACTCAGCCAGTGGGAAGCATGAAGGTTGAGGATGGGCAGACTGGAGCCCTCTGGCTGGATTCACTACTTGCCAATCAGTGAGTGACCCTGGACAAGTTTCTTCTTTTGTGAACCGGGATCCTAACTACCCTTTCTCTAGGCTGTTACCAGAAGATACGAGGAGACTTCAGAAAGTCTGTGGAAAAATTCCATCCTTTTTCAATTTCATTTTTCCACGAGCTCTTTGAAGTCCCCTCATAGATAGATGGGACCAGGCACTGCGCCCCATCCTGGTCCACTTGGAAACTGGAAGCCAGGTTTGTGACAAACATGTCAGGTCACGGACCTTCCTTGAGTTCCAATTCTGTTCCCCACACACTTTTCAGGACAGCATGTGTATTATGTGAGCGGTTTTCAAACTAGATTCCCAGGGATACTAGTGTTCCATGAATTAGCCTGAGATGTTCTGGCTAAAGCCAAATTCTAGCAGTTGGGTTAAACATGCTTAATTTTTTAAATTTTTCTCCAACCCGATCTGAGTTTCCTTAAACATTTGGGGCCTGTTCCCACCACCTTGATAGTATGTGAACAAGGAGTCGTAATATGCAATAAACTAAGAAATCAGAGGAAAACAAAAACCAGCCACGATTCTCTTTTTGGTCAGTCTAGTGTTCTATATTGCTATTATTCGTAAGTAATTTATTAGGGTGAAATTCACATCGTGTAAAACAAATCATTTTCAAATGAACAATTCAGTGGCATGTGGTGCCTTCTGGTGTCGGGCAACCACCTCCTTTCTTCAGTCCCTCACCATCTTCCTCCCTCCAAGTAGAAGCCCCCAGCTCCTGAAAGCCACCAGCCCACTGCCAGTCTCTATAGATTCTCCTAGTCTGCAAGTTTCACATACAAGGCACCACGCAGTACGTGGCCTTTATTTGTCTGGCTTCTGTCACTCCACACAATGTTTTGCATGATACATCCAGGTATCAGAGCTACACCCCTTCCTGTGACTGGACACTATTCTGCTCTGTGTGGCGCGGTGGTTGGACGCTTGGATGCTGGCTGGAATATCAAAAGATTGCGAAGAAAGATGTGGCAGCCTTGCTTCTATAAAGACTGTTGTACACACATGGAAACTGTTGTACACACATGTTGTACACACACGGAAACCCTAATGGGGCACATCTACTCTCAAAGGGGGGTACGGAGCTGGAATCGACTCCCTGGCATGTGTTGTTTCTAGTGGTCTGTTTTTTGGTTTTAAGTTTCTGTCCTAGCAGAGCCCAGCTGTGGTACCTCAGGTGACTCCTCACTTGAGTAGTTAAACTGGCAACACTGATTGTTCTTGTGTTCCTGAAAGAGCACACAGCTCTTACCATGTGAATGGGCTGATGGGCAGCTAGTGGGCAGATGAGTTCATGGAATTTGCTTTTGCCCCATAATAGGCCTGTCTGAGGGACAGCGGAAGACCACAGACGAGGGTCAACGTCTGAACTCCCAAAGTTCCGTTGGGGGCACCCTGTGGCCACAGGTTCCCAAGGAAGTACACTGACCAGCTTAGACAAGCTCTTGGGGTCTACACTCCCAGAACATTCGGAAGGATGGATTTTGGACTACACCATCTCTTCCCCTTGGTAGACATTAGTGAAGTCTGACCAGCCTGTTGGCAGCAGGTTGTAACATACCCATCTTTCCAACCCCAGGTAGATGGGGGCTGAGTTTGGTCTGTCTTTGGGCCAGGAACGTCCTGTGTTTCATCATGGAGTATACTGCACTGTATGCATCCCATCTACACCTCTCTGACAACTCCCGAGACTCACAGGTTCTAGAAGGTGGTAGGGTGGGGGTTCCCGTCTGTCTGTCCTGAGGTCTGCTATCTGAAAGGTTGAAGGCTCGAGTGTAACTCAGAGAAGCCTCGGAGGAAAGGCCACGTGATCTGGTCTCAGTCCCTCACCTGCATTTTTAACACTAAGCACGGTGCCCGGCCATGCAAGGAGCAGTTCCAGGCTTCAGGCAGTGCCAAGGGCACCAACCTGCCCCTCAATCCAGCCCTGACTCTTTCCAGGAAGAGCCCGCTGTGGACGCAACTTCCTGTGTCCGGTCACCTGCTGCAGCCCAAGCTGCTTTGCAGGGCACCCTTTCCACACGGAGGGGCTGATGAGTGCCCCGTAAGAGCCGGGCAGGTAGAGGAAACACCTGTATCCACGCCACGCAGCCACTCTACACTCAGCTCAACAAAAACCCGCAGGCTCAGCACCACCTGGGCACGGACCGTTCCGGCTTAGAACAGTTTTGTCACCTTGACAGCCCCCTCCAAGGAGGTCATGAAAAAACCTGAGCGAGGAGAACAGAGAAGGAATCCAGCGCCAAATGCTGGACGTCCCTGGGTTCCGAGCATCCGACTTACAGACAAATGCACTTGTGGCAACACTGTCCCTATCACCTTCACTTCCTGCACCTGCAGCTTTTGAATCCGTGCACTAAGTCAAGGTAAATAGGAACCATATGCACCTGTTCCAACTCGCCGACCAATTTGACCAAAAGACATACTTAGGGACGGATCTCGTTTGTCACCTGGAAACAGCCTGTAGTCTAACCAAAACAATGCCATAAGGTGAAAGGATTCGTTTGTTTTTTCTCCAACCACCAGGTGGCTGAAGTTGGCCAAGGGGCCAGGTCCTCAGGGAAACACTCTGGCCAGGGGTCAAACGCTCACTGTGTACTGGCACGGAGCTAAGCATTTCGCGTTCACCACATGCCCTGGTCATCATCTGTGAAATGGGGACTGCTATTTGCCCAAGACGCAGATGAAAACACTAGGGACGTTTAGTAACCCCTTAGTGACTGAACCCCAAAGCACACTCTCACTCATGGCCCTAGGTAACTTTGTCTCCCTGTTCGCTAAACAATTTCTACCCACTCCAACTAATGTCACAGGCTTAGCAATGGTACAGCCGGTCCCACCCCCACCAGCCTGAGTGACCTTAGCTAAGTGACTTCACCTTTCAGCCTCACTGGACTCCTCTAGGGTTTTTTCTTTCTTTCTTTTTCCAACTACCATCATTATTTATTTCCAACCCTTTTCCTTACTCCAAGCAGAAACCCTGTACCTGTGAAGCAATCACTCTAGACACCACTGCCAGGTCCTGGTAACCAGCAATCTACTTTCTCTCCCTACGTGTTTGGTCCCTACGTGTACCCTTTCCGGAGTGACTTGTCTCACTCAGCCCATCCACGGTGTAGCCAGCCTCAGGACTTCACACCTCTTTATGGCTGAGGAAGATGCCGCTGTCCACAGAGACCACATGTTGTGTATCCATCCTCTGTAGCTTCTAACACGAGTAGACTTCAAAACATTCGTGGGAAAATGGACTTAGAAGATAATGGAAACTTTCCACAAGTAGCCTTGGTGGACACAAGCGCTGGACTACTAACCACAAGGTCAGCAGTTCAAACCCAGCAGCTGCTCCGTGGGAGAAAGAGAAGCCTTCTGCTCCCGTATTGCAGCCTCAAAAACCCCGTACAGGCTCATTATGAGTTTGAATCTACTCAATGGCAGTGGGTTGGGTTTGGTTTGGGGAAGATGCCCATGAACTTTTGAAGCCCCTCATATTTGGTGGCATAATGGTCACATGGTATGTGTTTGAAACAATGGAAGGGTCGGTTGGAGAAGTGCTGGGTCTCAGTTATGGGGGTGTGTGTGTATGTGTGTGTGTGTGGCATAGCCAACCCCCAGCCAGATACACACTAGGTATGAGCATTTAGTCAATGTGAACTTTTCCTTTTTTTTCTTACATGCCTTTATTCCTCCATCCCAGGGCCTGAATAGGGAAGGAATGCCACCACAGGCTGATGACAATACCCATTTGTCCTGTCCTGATGACATCCAGACCTGGCGGAGGTTTAATGAAGGCTGAGCCTCGTGGTGGGGCTGACGATGGGGTGGCAATGTGGCTGCCATGTGAGTTAGGCAGGTCAATCTCCTCCTCTGTGAAGTGGGCATCGCCTGGCCCACCTCCTGGGGAATGAGCAGTGTGACACTGTGTGTGGATCCTGGCACCTGCCTGACCCATAGTCGGGGCTTCCTAAGGAAGTGAGCTGCCAGTCCCATGCCTACCCACTACAGCCATTCGGCCCAGGACAGGAAGCCACCCTAGTGACGTAGGCATTCCAGACCTTGGTGCCTTTCCATTCCTGAATTTTTGTTCTTTTATTTAACAAGTCCTAGTGGCACAGGAGGTTAAGCACTGGGCTGCAAACTGAAAAGGCATGAGCCACTCTGTGGTAGAGAGATGGGGCAGTCTGCTTCCATGAAGATTTACAGCCTCGGAACCCCTGGGAGGCAATCTACTCTGTCCTGTATCCATCGACTGGGGACTGACTGACGCTGAGCTCTGGTAGCGTAGTGGTTATGAATCGGGCTGTGAACCTCAAGGTCAGCAGTTTGAAACTACCAGGTGTTCCAAGGGAGAAAGATGAGGCTTTCTGCTCCCGTAAAGATGTACAGCCTTGGAAACCCTGTACAGGGTCACTATGAGTCAGAACTGACTCCACGGCACATAACAACAACAACAACAACAACTACTCAACAACAATGCGTTTGGCTTGGGTTGGATGGACTGGCCTTTCACCTCTAGCCCACTGTCCATGACCACCCCTGTAACCCACCATTTCACCTGCCGCCTCAAGTCCTCCCAGGCAAAGTCACCTCTACATTCAGCAGATCTGGAAGACCTGGCCACTTCTTCCCTGGTGTGTGGGTAGTGGCCAGCCTGAGTGGGGGTCAAACAGACATGTAGCAGCTCTGCTGAACACTAGGGGTGCCAAGAGCAGGGGACCAGTCTCAGGGGAGAGGTCACTCTGGTGACCATGGATTAATGCAGATCAGGAACCCTTACTTACAGTGTTCCCAGGGACAAGCAAACACGCAAACACGACAAGTATTAGTATTTGTACAGAAAGTAGTGCCAGGACCAGACTAAGCAGGCAGAGTATGTGCCCACAACACCCGCCTGCTGAGGAGCAGTGCAAGTGACGTTCAGAGCCAGCCTCCGATGTCCCGTCTCTCTCCCCTGCCAGGACCATCAGCGCCATTCTCGAGGGCTGGGGTTTGCTTGGCTCAACCACCTCCAGTAGTGCCTGGCACACACTATTCACTCAGAGTGAGGGGCAAACAGAAAACTAGGCAGCACAGCAGTCAGGCTCTGCCAGTCACACGCCGCTGCCAGGACTGTGGGCAGCACAGGGCAACTGGGCAGAGAGCCATGCCCACCGGAAGCCTCCACTGGCCAGGGAGCAGAGAGGACGGGGCAGTCTGGGGAAGAACTGGACCGATGATGGGTCGATGGCAGCCCCCAGCTCTTTACTCAGTTGTGAAGGTGCTGTGTAGGTGTGGGTGACTATGGACAAAGGAGACTACATTCAAAGTGATGTGTGTGCGTGGGGGTGCGCCTTATGAGCAAACATGGAGGTTTCCACCAGAGGAAGCGTTCCCTGGAGACTCCCACCTGCCTGCTGGCCCTAAGGACTTCAGACGTGCCAGCCGCTGGTCACGTACACCAACTCCTCAAAATAAACCAATCTCAGCGGATGACAGTGCTGGTTGCACAACACAGTGATGGTAATTAATGTCACTGAATTGTACACTTAAAAATGGCTACAGCATCAAAACTTGCTAGGTATAGCCTACTACAATACAGTGCTTTTTAAAATGACAAAACCAAGCAATCTCTCTCTCTTGCTCATTTTCCCCCACCTCCTCACCCACCCTCTCCCTCCTTTTCTCTCTCTATGGCATCCCTGGGTGATGCCAATGGTGAACATGCTCTGCTATTAAGCAAAAGGCTGGTAACTCTACTTTCCCACAGGTGCTTCAGAAGAGAGGTGTGGCAATCTAAGTCTGAAAACCCAGCCACTGGAAATGTTGTGGAGTGCACGTCTACTCTGACACACACAGGACTGCTGTGAGTTGGAGCTCTGAGTCCTTCCTCAGACTCCCAGGGCGGCAGGGAGGGAGACCACTCACCTCCCTGGGGAACTACTGCTTGTGTAAGCGGCTTGGCCCAGGGTTGGTGTTCGGGGGCATGCATTACCTCGGAGAGCAGTTTGGAGACGATTTCCAGAGGGGCCTGGTTGATGGAGTCATCCTGCAGAGGGGACGTCAGGGCCATGTCCACCAGGGTGCGGATCTCTTTCAGGACGACCTCCCAACGGCTTGGGTTGCTCAGGACTTTCTTGTATTTGTAAATCTTTTTCTGGTTGGGAGAGATAGTGAGACATGGACATGTCACCAATACATGGAAGGTGGAAGACCTAAGGTGAGTAAAGATGCCAGCAGGGGAGAGTCCAGCAGATCTGTCACTTGATCCACTCCCTTCCCCATCAGGAAAATGGAGCTATTTGCCCAGAGCCCCGGGGTTCACTGGCAGTCTGGGTGCCTGAGTTCGAGAGGTGAACTTTTCCACAGTTTCCAATGACTTAAAAGGGAACTGAGGGCTTTCTCTTTCAGACACATCTTCTGCCAAACTTCCATTTCCCCAAGCACTTACAGAGTGGACACATTCATGGGTCCATGGAGGACCGTTCTTTTCCAGAGTGAGCTGTATCCGCTCGTCCTGATCCTGAGAGGTTCCCCTGCCCCCTGGCCCCAGAGAACTAAGACACATGACAAACAGAACATGGCCAGGTAAGCACCAAGCTCAGAAGCACCCCCAGGAAAGGCAGCGTGGCCCTCCGCATCCACCTGGTGAGGAAGGGGTGTATTCTCACCTCCACATCCGCACAGGTCCAAAGCCAGAGAGAGGCTGGGGTGTGGATGCTGCCTGGATGTGAGGCAGAGTTAGTTCCGCCTCTGTGACATCATGGAAACAGAGGCCTTCGGAAGGCGGAGGTCCCAGCCACATGCCCCCCTCCCCCAAGCCCCACGCTTCCCGGCCTGGGAGCCTCTCCTAACTGAAAGCACGCCTTCATTAAGAACTCTGCTCCTTGGGGAAAGCCTAATTTTAGTGTTACTGTGCCAGCAGCCAGCTGGGATGACATGTCACAATCTCTGAGCCAAAGTCTGAATGAAGGAAAGAGGGAAGAGGGGGTGAGGATCCCTCGCTAAGCTCAAAAGGAAGCTCGGAGGTCATCTGAGTCTCCTGGAACCCCGCAAAGAAGTATTTGGAGGAAGTATCTCAGACGGATGCTGTGATGTTGGAAGTTGTGCCCCAGTATTTCAGACACTAGTAGGGTCATTCATGGGGGACAGGTTTCAGCAGAGAGTTCAGACTAAGATAGATGAGGAAGAACAGTCTGGTGGTGTACTTCTGAAAATAACCCGATGAAGGTGCTACGGATCACAAGAGAATGTTATCTGACGTTGTACTGGAATATAAGCCCCCTGGATTGGAAAGCACTCAAAATAAACAGAGACTGCAACAATGGACTCAAATAGACTGGTAATCTTGGAGACGGAACAAGACCAGACAACGCTTCCTTCGGTTAGACACAGGGCATTTGTCACAAGTTGAAGCCGACTGAATGGCAACAAACCGCTATTGAACTGAGCAGGGAATCGGGCTGAGGGCATCACCGTGCTGTAGTGGAAAGCAGGCAATGGCTTCACACAGACATGGCTCTTCCTGTCCAGTATTTCATCCGCAGAGCCTGGGTTTCCTCGTCCATCAACTGAGCACAAGAAGACCTTGTAGCTTCTTTCAGTGTGTAACCCTTATAAATCTGGGAACCAGGTGATCGGTTCTGTATGCAGTTACATTAAAAAACAAAACAAACGCACTGTCCAAGTAGAAATGGCAAAACAAAAGAGAAGCTGCTCTCCTTTGGAAAAACAGTAAAGGGGGATCAAATTGACATCCCTTGGCGAAGCAAATGGTACCGCATTTCTTTCCTCCATTTCTCCTAGCTCGTGCCCATCACCACCATCAGCACCTACACAATTACTGTACACCAAAGGGTGAACCTCTACATCCAGAACATTCTTACAGAAATCAAGGGAGTAGCTTTTCTCCTCTTCCTTTCCTCGCCTCCTCTCCTCTCTCTCGTTCTTGCCTCTACCCTCCTATCTATCTATGCTGGGCTGCCTGTTCACTTTTCAGGGGTCTGGGAGGGCAGAGGAAACAAACTGCAAAGACAATGTGCTTTTCATCAGCTAGGAGACGGGAAAGAGACCAGCACGTTCCATTCGGGGTGGGTGTTCAGCAAAAGGTAACCATGGGGCTGGTGGTGATGAAGGTCTAACAGGTACTTGCTCACCTCTGTGACTTTAATGACATGAAGCACCTGGCCCTTTTACGCTCCTGGGGACATAACCAGCCCTCTTCTAGCAAACCATCGGTGCTGTGAGCAGAGGCCTTGTCAGCTACACAACCGAGTCCATGCACAATACAAAGTGTCCTGGAGAAGCGACCCCCCCCCCCACCTTCCCCTGAAGACGATTGGTTCTTTGATCCCCTGAGACTGTAGTTTTAGTCCACACCCAGAGAACTGGTTCATTTTTAACTGACCACAAAATGATGACAAAAATCCAGCAAGAAAACCACAAGGATCCACACCCCACTCTCCCATGGCAGCGTCTACATTTGAGGCTGTTCTGAGCTCTAACTATCCACTCCTCTGATCTGCTGCGGGCTTTGGAAAGAATCATGCACTTGACATTTGGGGGAAACTGAGGCACACTTATTGTAAAGCGCTGAAGCCACATGGAAGACTATAAAGAAGGGCTTGTGTGACAGAAGCCCTTGGGCTTCTATCCCAGAAATAAGGAGCATTCTTATTAAGGAACACCACTGAAAGAACCCCTCATTTACGAAGTGCAAAATACAACAAACACATTGGGGTGTTGCTGTTGTGTGCGCAGTGTTCTGCCCTCCACAGGCAGACACTGAGCTGCAGAGCTAGAATGAGGTCCAGCTGAGCACTGGTGGTTGTTGTTGTTAAGTGCCGTTGAGGTGGTTCTGATCCTATCGCCCTATATAGGGTTTCCAAGGAGGGGCTGGGTGAGCTTGAACCGCCAACCTGGTGGTTCAAACACCACCATGCAGTCCAGCGCATTAACCCACAGTGCCACAGCAGGACTCCATGGTGCCGCTCAAAGACAGACCCTTCATCAGTGGCCTGCCTCATTAGAGTGGGGAGGGAAGCAGCTCTTGTGTGAGTGCCCGGAGCCTTTGTAAAGTGCTGCCCACGAGGGACTGCTTATGGAAGCCACACTCCAAAGCAGAATGTTTAATGAGCACGTACTGTGTGCCAGGCACGATGCCCAGCACCCCACAGGCATGGACTCCTCAGGGAGGACTAAGTCTGAGCTGGGGACTTGTCTGTCACAGGTTACCAAAGACAAGGAGCCACGTGCAAATGGTGTATTTACAAGGCAATGGTACGAAAGCTCGGGAAGTGAGTCCTGGATGAGAAGGCTGTGAATCAATGGGGTAAGTGGGGCTCCATGCTGCTGGGGAGCTCCCAGAAACACCGTAGGCTCCCTGGGACATTTATCTACTACCTGCCTGTCTGCCAATGGGGCCTGACCACTCCAGTGATTGTGGCCTGCCCAGAGCCCAGACCAATGGAACCCCACAGCCAGAAGGGACATGCCCTGGGGTAGAGCCCCGGGTCAACTGGCACCCTCAGTTTACACACAACAACACCAAGGCTGAGGGCAGCAAGTTGCCCGACATCAGGCAGTCAGGCGGGGACAATAGAGGACTCAAAACTGGTTTTGCCAACACCAAAGCTATCACTGTGTCTCCCAGGTCAGGGCCAGTAGAGCTGGGTGGAGAGAGGCTTGGGCCTTCTGAGCCACACTGTGATGAAGGAAGTCAGTAGGTTTTGGGGTACAGAGCGAAGCCCTGAGATCTGGAGGCCAGGAGAGAAGGGCTGTGGGGAAGGCCGGGGAACAGCAGGTGAGATGGGGCTGTCATGTTGGGGTGGTGGGCTGTGGGCAGGCTCCTGGCTCTCAGTGGAGGTTGAGTCTGGGATCAGGGAAGCACACGGAGAGGAAGGCACGTTTAGGGCCAGCAGGGTCCCAGTCACTCCTCATGACAAAGCAGCAGCGTCTTTCATCCCAGAAACTCCCATGAGCTCATCAGGCAGTGAATCATGGTGGTACAGGGACAAGGACGCCTCCGGAATCCTGTCTCCCAGCCTCCCAGGAGCCTAGCTCTCATCTTCCAGCTAGCCCCAACCTACCAGGGGAGTGAATGGCCTGTTGGCTGTCCAGCATGGGTCCCAAGGGCCACTGGATTCCTTGGGAGGGAGCAGAAAAGGGCCTGGTGGGTGGGTAAGTATGAACTGGTTATATTGGAGCAAGCTTCTGGCTTCAAACAGGGGTCAGAGCTGCCCAAGTCTTGCACTTTTAAAAGATTGTGAAAACAAATAAAGGACTATGTGCCAGAAATTGAATGAGTCCTGTATAGCTCCAAATATTTGGTATCTGGCCCTTTACAGAGAAAAGTTTGCTGACCTGATCCCTGATTTCAAAGGTCAAATCCCAACCTAGGAGTAAGCACACAAAGAGGTGCACCATCATCAGCCACCAGAGAAATGCTAATGAAGTCAGATAGCACCCCCATCTACAAGGACAGCTGTAATCACAAAGACAACACTGAGTATTGGTGAGGGACCCTCGTTGTACTGCAGGTGGGGGTATAAAATGGTAAAGCTACTGGTAAAATGGTAAACAACTCGACAATTTCTTAACAAGTTACACATACATTTCTGCTTCCAGGAATCAACACGGGAGAAGTGAATACACACTCCCATGTCCATAGCTACATCACTTCTAATAGTCCCAAACCGGAAACAACCCAAATGTCTACTAACTGATGCATGGATTCAAAAACAAAAACAAAAACAATGACAGAGTATTCAAGCAATAAAAAGGAAGAGACTTATTTATTCATAGGTACTATAATGTGGACAAACCTCACAAACATGTTTGCTAAGTTGTAGAAGCCAGACGCAGAAAACCATATGCTATATGACTCTTTCATATAACATGTCTTGAAAGGTAAAATGACAGGGACAGAAAACATAGTAGTCATTGCATGGGGTCAATGGAGGGAAAGGGGACTGACCCCACACAGCCACCAGGGGACCTCTTGGAGTGATGGAACAGTTCTCAAACTAGACTGTGGTGAATCCTTCACACTATAAAACTTACTGAAGTAACTTCATTATACACTTACAATGGGCAACTTTGATGGCATGGAAATTATACCGCAATTAAGTTGTTTAACATAAACCCCAACTTGGGAGC